GGGAGGGGGCCCCGGGCGCCGATCCGAGGAGCCCGCGTAAACCGCTGAATCCCAGCAGCCCTCTGGGCGTAGGTGGGTCTAGAGAGCTTGCTCCTCCAACCCCCTGCTTCCCCTTCGGGGAGGGGCTTGTCACTGTTCCCTGTTACTATACACCCCATTCCCCCAGGCGACCGGCAGCCAACCAAGAACAATGAGGACCCCATGAGGGCCCCCCACCACCACCCCTGTCAACAAAACGATACAAAGTACAATCTGGGTCAAAGTCAGGAGCCACGCTCGTGGGGCACGCGAGCACGTTAGATTGTTTCTTGACGGGGGCGGCAGGGGTGTCAGCATCCTGCCTGCTGCGCGCAGAGCTACCATCCCTGACACAAAAACATAACAATATGCCCTCGCGGCTAAATCTTGATCATGCGCGGCCAGCCCGCGATCACTGTCAAGTCGTGGCGTATGGCCTGCTATGCGCAGGCTCACCAGACACAATGATGGGCATTGATTTTCGACATGGCGACATAGATAGTGAGGGTCGACATGCATCCGATATGTGCAGTCAACTGCGCAAGCGCACCTGACACACTCTGCACGTGTCCCGAACGTGGCGCACCTTGCGCGGCTGGAGTATGCGGCACATCTGGCGCACGCGGAGGCACGTGGCGCACCTGGCGCACCAGGCGTGCCTGCCACACTCTGGCCCAAAAAATGCCTCGGGCGCGCCTGGCACGCGTGGCGCACCTCGCCCCCGCGTCGCTCACATGGGTTCGGTTTTGGCTCCCAGTAGCTGCCCACCCAAAGACGACCGCTGAACATGCTGAAGCTCGGGTGTTACTTCTGTGTCGGGAGGGCGGGTGGGAGTGATCTAGACGGCTTGCTATCTAGGAGGGTGCCTTGATCACTGTTCCCTATTAGTATACACCCCCTCCCCCAGGCGACTGGGAGCCAGGAGCCAACCCAGGTCCATGCGCCCCCTCCCCCCCCCTATCTTCCTCTTTAAAAGACAATACAAAACACACTCTGCCCCCACCATTCCTTGTAAACAAAACACTACAAACACACACTCTGCCTCCAAATTCGGAGCATGCGCAGCGAACCCGATGCTGCCTCCTCTCACCATCCCTGTCAAAAAAAAGAGTACACTTGGCGGCGGCGGCGGCGGCGGCTGCGGCGGGGGCAGCGGCTGCGGTTTCCGCGGCGGTGGTGGCGGCGGTGGCAGCGGCGGCGGCGGCGGCGGCAGCGGTGGTGGCAGCGACTGCGGCGGCAGCGGCTGCGGCGGTGGTAATTCGGCAGCGGGGGCGGCGGAGGCGGCGGCGGCGACGGCGGCGGCGGGCGGCGCGGTGGCGGCGGCGGCGGCGGACAGCGGCGGCGGCGGCGGCGCGGCAGCGGCGACGGCGGGCGGCGGCGGCGGCGGCGGAGGCGGCGGCGGATGCGCACCCAGTAGCTGCCCATTCAAAGACGACTGCTGCATATGCTGCGGCTCGGGCCAGGCTCGGGTGCCACGTATGTGTTGGGAGGGCGGGTGGGAGTGAGCGAGACGGCTTGCGGGCGGGGAGGGAGACTCTTGACCCCTCCTCCTACCCCCCACCCTGGACCTGGAAGGGGGGTTTCGCGAGGCGTTGGAGCGTCCAAGAAGGCTCTAGGAGGGCCTCAGAAAGCCCAAAATGACTTCCAAGATGGCCCAAGATAACCCCCAGATGGCTCAATAGGGCTCCCAAGATGCTCCAAGAGGCCCCAGGACCGCTCCAAGACTGCTCCGAGTGGGCACGCAGCCTCCCCAGGAGGCCGCCAAGAGGCCAAAATCCATCGAAAACCTAGGGACAAGTAACTGATTGTGCCTTCTCGCCTTTTCGAACCCAATGGCTTTCCGAGGCCTCAAAACAACTCCAAGAGGGCCCATGAGGGCCCCAAGAGAGGCTCAAGCGAGCCCCAAGACGGCCCCAAGAGCGCCTAAGAGCGCTCCAAGAGCGCCCCAAGAGGGGCCCAAGAGGCGATTTGTGGGGCTCCCGAGGTGGGGTCGTAATTAGAGCTCCCATCTTTTTGTTGATCGATCTCCTCCAAGATGGCCCCAAGAACGCTCCCAAGGTTCCCAAGAGGGCCTGAAGAGGGCCCCAAGAGGCGCCCAAGAGGACCCAAGAGACGCCCAAGAGGCTTCCAAAAAACTCCCAAGAGACCCCATAAGAGACCCCAAGAGGCTCCCCGAGGTACCCAAGAGCGCTACAAGAGGGACCCTTCCTCTGTGTAAAACCCACTTCCCTGATCGAGGCAACTTCTCTGGGCATCGTCTCTGGATGGGATGGTGGGGTTACGAGAAGCGTCAAGAATCTGCATGCTTACATCATTGCTTGTTCCCTGAACCGCGGCCACGAACCTCCCGACCACTTCCCCGGGGATAGTTCGGCGCCCCGGACTCGTTGGCAGTGGTCCCGGGGCCCGGAAGCGCGGTCCCCGGGTGTGCTGAACTGATGGGGAAACTCGCGAACGGAACAACACTTTCTTGCGTCGGCGGCTAGGCAGGGGTCGTCTGCGCTGGCGGAAGGAGCCAACTAAACCGAGGCACCGTTGCAGCGAATTGGCCAGCATGCAAGAGGAGTGAACGGAACAAGTCATACATCTCGCCGGAGCTCAGAGGATCGATCGGATCGGATCCTGCCGACGCGAAAGTCTACAGGGGCACGCTTGTCGTCGAGCTCTGAACTTCCAGAGGTACCCCATAGGGCTCGCGTGGGGGCCACCAGGGCCAGCGGGAGAGAGGAAACTCCCACGAGGCAACAGCAGGCACGCTGGCTTCGTATTTGATGCACCTACTGTACACCTTGTGCTGCAGGCGTGCCAGTGGCTCTTCTGTCCTGCCCGCCTGTGCAGCTGGCTCTGACCGCTGCTCCGACCTTTCGTCGAGCAGCGGCGGCAGCGAATTCGTGCGCGCCACGGGGATAGTGGGGTCGTCGGGTCGCGAGGCAAGCGGGGCGCAGGGCAGGGCGAGAGGTCCGCCGAGGCCCGCTCGCCGGCGGGGAAAGACACGTGGGCCCCGGGCGTGCCAGACAGACTCGCATCGTTGAAAAATTGCGACAGTCGCGCCGTGCGAAAGGGAGGGGATAGCACAGGGGGGGTTTGAGAATCAGCTCACGTAGCTGATTTTCCCGGCGCCTCCCAGCGCCGGAGGCGGCCATGTATCGAGGAATGGGCCCCTCGGTGGGGCTGAAACCAGATGCATTGCACCAGATTTCGTACCCCCCCCGTTCCCTATCCCCTCCTTTCGTGCGGCCCGAGACAGGAGGTCATTGATAGCTTTCGGCCTCTGGGGGGGAGCCCTCGCCGGGCCCCGCGACCGTCAAACAACGGCTCTGGATGATAAGACAGCCCCGTGGAAAGGGTGGGAACTTCGGGGAAGGCAGGACATCGGATGCCCAGATCGGCTACCCGTCAAGCGACCCCTGGATCCTGGAGGGCGGACTGCACTTTAGCCAGCGGCCCTGCGAGCCCAACCCGCCTCGATGCCGGCAAGCCTGCACTGCCTGCAAAGAGAGAATGCCGCTTGAAGAGGGTGGGGGCCTGGGAGCTCGCCCATGCCCCGACTTGTCCTCTCAGACAAGAGGCTCCACAAGATTGTTCGACGGGCCGGGGGAAATCCGCAGCCTGGCTCCAGACGGCTCTCAGACCGCCGACGATGGCCCAAACTGGTGCCCTACCAAAGACAACAAGCATCAAAATCCGTTGTGTTAATGTCATGCTGTGTTTTGTTACAGGCTTGGCTGCCACCGCGTTTCGGCTCAGGATGGTTTCCCGATGGGTTTTCGAGGTCTCGAAGAAGCCCACGCAGCCCACCAAGATGCCTCTAGACTGTCCAGCAGGGCCCGAATATGCGTACACATCTTTCGGAGAAAGGTGGGCAGAAACATGCATTAGGAAGGCATTGGAGGTAGATTGGGTTTCCGCCAGCCCCCTGAAGAGGAAGGAAAAGGGAAAGCACTCGATCATCGAAGCGGGAAGGCACCTGCAATAAATTGGCATCGGGGAACCCAGAAGCACCTACTGTCAACGGACGAGTGGTAGCCACACGATGGCCCCCGAGGCCCCCGGCCGGTCCCCAAGACATCCCCGAGACGGCTCCGATCCAGCCGCAGACCTCTGCCCCAGGCTGCGTGCCCTCCGATAACCTGTGGGCGGCCCTGAGACTCTCGGAAGGCCCAGCCCCGAAGCTCCCCGAGGGGGCCCGAGGATCGGGTCGGGCGAAAGGGGGGGATAGCAAAGGGGGGGGTTGAGAATCAGCTCACGTAGCTGATTTTCCCGGCGCCTCCCGGCGCCGGAGGCGGCTATGTATCGAGGAATGGGCCCCTCGGTGAGGCCGAAACCAGCTGCATGCAGCAAATTTCGTAACCCCCCCTTTCCCAATCCCCCCCTTTCGCCCGACCCGAGAGGAAGCAGTCAAGAGGCCCCACGCTGGCCCCAGCAGAGCCCGAGAGGGCCCCGACAGGACCTCGGAGGGGCCTCCGCAGAGGCCGGGGGGCACCTCCCCACGCTGGCCCTCTGGCCACAAGACCGGCGGCCGATGCAGACGGGCCTCGGGATCCTCCTCTCCCCGACCTCCTCCTCCTCCTCCTCCTCCTCCTCCTCCTCCTCCTCCTCCGCTTCTCCTCCTTCTCCTCCTCCTCCTCCTCCTCCTCCTCGTCCTCCTCCTCCTCCTCCTTTCCTCCTCCCCTCCTCCTCCTCCTCCTCCTCCGCTCCTCCTCCTCCTCCTCCTGCTCTCTCCTCTTCTCCTCCTCCTCCTCCTCCTCCTCTCCTCCTCCTCCTCCTCCTCCTCCTCCTCCTCCTCCTCCTCCTCCTCCTCCGCCTCCTCCTCCTCCCCCCCCTCTGCGTGGGTGCTCCTCGCTCTTCCTCCTGGGGGCTCCGCAGAGCGGCGGAGGCCCCCAGGGCAGTGCGCGCGGTGGCACAGGGAGGCACGTCGTCGAAGGTCCCCCGGGTGGTCCTCACCGACGGGCACCACGAGGAGGAGCGGCGCGCGGGCCCGCTCACTGGCTCTGCGGCAAGCTGCGGGTGCTCCCGCCTGGGCCAGACGTCTGCCGCTCCTGGGGAGGACGAGGGGAGCAATCCGCAGCGGCATGGAGGCACAGTGGAGGCCAGTGCACGAGAAGCCCTCAACAAGAAACCCAACCCTGAGACCCCAGGACGTCCATCGATTTTTGGTGTGGGAACCTCATGGGCCCCCACTGTACACTGACGGCTGGACCTGGAACAGAGGAGCACCCTTCAAGACTGAAGAACATTCGAGGAGACCATCCCCCAGGATGCACAAGAACACCCAGCAAGCACGAAGAACATGGGGGTGCCCTCCCCGAACGGACTTCGACCTCAGACCCCGGGTCGACCGAACGGAGGTCCGCGCGGTCCAATCGCTGGGTCCGCAGAAGTCCGCCCTTTGAGTCGGACTTTTCTCAAACGCTGGGTGCTGCTCAGTAGCGCTATGGTCGATCGTGCTTGGCAGAGTCGAGCTGAACCTCACCATGGGCTATGGAGCGGGGAACAGAGACTCTGGCGAGAACGTGTCCCATTACTCCGCAGCTGCGTGAAGGCTGGCAGATGCAGAAAGTTATGAGCACGAGTTCGAAACGCAGCAGTTTTAACTATTGGCCAGCGCGGACCCAAAACATTGTGCTCTAGTGTACTATGTGGTGCAGTACATGCACGTAGTGAAATGAATGTGGTGCAGGCTATGTGGTGCAATGTGTGTGATGCAACCTACGTGGTGCTAGCTATCTGATGCAATGTATGTGGTGGTGCAATCTAGGTGGTGCTAGCTATGCGGTGCAGTCCATGTAAGACGATCTACGTGGTGCAATGTGGTGCAAACTATGTGGTGCAATCTGCATCGTGCAAGATACGAAGTTCGAACAAGCAAAATTGCAATCGAAATGCGGCGGCGGCGACGGACGGCGGCGACGGGCAGCGACGGCGGCAATAAGCGCGGCGACCGACACCCAAGCGCAGAAGAAGCGGCGACGGACGGCGGAAACGGCCGGCGACGGCGACAACAAGCTTGCCGGACCGACATCCAGGCCCCGTTGCTTTTAAACCAACTCAGGACTCCTAAGTGCAAGCAATGTTTGCTGAATGAATTCGGGATGCAACCTTTGAGCTGAGTAAAAACTCCGAATCCATGGAGGTTGTTCCAAAAATGTTCAATCCATGCCGGCTTGTTGTATTCATTCAAAAACCGCTCTTGACATGGCGCTGGATCCAATCTGGTGGAACTGGCACCCGCTCCAGCGGCGACGTCAGGACGATTTGAACTGTGGCGATTCAGTTCATACTCGCGCCAGCGCGCAAAGCGCAGAGGAAGAACCACAACAACGTAGTTTCAGGTCGGGCATGTCCTCCTACAGGCGGATTTGGAATGAAAACGATGCATAGTCAAAACATGAACACGAATGGTCACACATTGTGTTTTTTGTACGTCCCCAGACGTCATATGTTTGACTATATTTTGAATAATCCTCCTGTTGAGGGACGTGCCCGACTTAAAAACGCAATTCGAAACTGCTCGCTCTTCGTTGCCCCCCCCGCACCCTCGATGCAGCAGCCTCGTTTTGTCCCTTCGGCCGTGCTCCCTCTGGGGGCAACTGCGTCCCTCCCCTTGCCCGCCTCGCGGCCCCCAAAACTGGGAAGTGGAGGGAGAAGGGAAAGCTCGGCGGCGGGCGAGGTGGGGAAATGAGCAGGAGAAGGCCCTCTCAAAAGGCGGCGGGACTTCTCAGAAACCCTCGCTGGCGCCTTCTGAGAGGCTTTTTTTTGTCTCCGGGGAAGGCTTAGAAATCCTCTCAGAAGGCTGGGGGACTTCCGAACCTTCCGAGAAGGCCTTCTCCTTCTCACTTCCCCCCCTCGCCAAAAAACGGGAGAGAGGGAGGATGGGAGCAGGAAGCGAGGGGAAGGGGGCGGGGGGCGCAAAACAACCTTGCAGGAGGGATGGGGAAGAGGAAACGAAGATGGCAGGCCGGACCCTGCGAAAAGTTCGTGTCGTTTCGTGTCGTGCCGACCCCAGCGTTGGTTTCCTGACATCGCGGGGATCGTTCAACCTTGAACGATCGGCCCTTGTTCGCAACGTCCGGTCGTTCAACATCGAGCGGCTCTGGGTCGCCTGCGGCATTCGACGTTGAACGCCGGCGGCGGGTCGGGCGGGCGGACCCCAATGGGTGGACCGGGCGGGTGGGCCCTGACGGGCGGACAGGGCGCACGGACCCTCACGGGCGGGCTGGGCGGGAAAGTTGTAGGAGCGGGCGGGCAGGCGTCCAAACAGGCGCACCGGCAGAGCCCAGCTGGGAGCACAGGCCCTCACGCAGGAATCGGGCGGGCGGGCCCCGACGGGCAGGTCGGGTGGGCGGGGCCTCGCAGCGACCTTGGTCGATTCTGAAGGCGCAGCAGGCGAGAACACACTTCTGGAGTGAATCGTGCAGAAGCCGTGTGCGACAGCGCGATTCCAGCACGTCGAGAACGCAGCGCCGAAGCCAACTGCGAGGGAGTCCGAGGCGAGAGCGCGATGATTTAAGCACATTGTAAGGAAGTCTCTGGCGCGAGCGCGATTCCTGGACAACAATGTGGTAAAGTCCACGGCGAAAGCCATTGAATTCTCATGTCTGGAAGAAAACTATGATAACCCTTGTCCAGCGCGCAATGTTTTTCAATTGAATTCAGATGCTCCTCCTGGGGCTCGCACGCAGTTTCATCGGGGGAAGTCAAAGTCTTGAGAATGGGTTGTTGGCCCCCGGCACTTCCTCACAATTCAATTCAACTTCGCACTCTCGCGCGGGACGTCCTCAGACTTTATGCTGAAATCGCGCTCTGGCGTGGTAATGTCTTAGAATTTATATCGGCGCCGTGCCCATTACACTGAGGAATCACGCTCTCGCGCTGGATTTCCTCACGAGTTGCTTCAAAATCGTGCTATCGCCGAAAACTTCCTTGCGACTCATGGTGGATTGACGCTTCAGCGACCCGCCCGCTCGACCCGGCCGTCTGGGCCCGCTCGCCCGATCTGCCCGTTAGGGCCTGCCTGCCCGACCCGCCCGTCTTGCTCTGCCGCTTGTACCCCTGATTTAGCGGCTGCGTCAACTACACGCGCCATGTAGGGAAGATATACCCTCGAGGAGGTTACGATCGAAAACGAAGAGGGCGGGTATCGAGGGTTTGGGATACCCAGTGCACGTGTTGAAATGGCAAGCGAACAAATAAGAGCGAACGGTATCAAAAGGATTGTTGCGCTGTTGTTGTTGTCGCCCTGTGTCCTCAACAGCACACTTTGACCAGTAAAACTGCCCCTGGCAATGAAAATGATGCGAGTTCCGGGGGAGACACTTCAATTGCAAAACGAAAAGAATCGGCGCCCGCGGGGCGGGATCACAATGAGTTGTTACTCGGAAGCAGCATTGATGATGTTAGCCAGTGTGGATCCTGAAGAGTGCGGCGTGATGGCACTGTGTAAGAGAAAGCTATGCAAAGTAAGCTACGGGGTGAAACCTATGTCGTGTGAGCTGGCGAGATGGAAACTATTCGGTGTAGGCCCTGTAGGCTATAGCATGTAAGCTAAGTGGTGTGAGCAGGAGGTCAACACCGTGTGGAGTAAGCTATGTGATGCTATGCGGTACCAACCACGTGGTGCAAGCGACAACGTGGCGGCAACGGGCGGTGACGTGGCGATTCCTCGAGACACCCACCCAGCGCACGAGGCGGCGACGAGGCGGCAACTGGCAGCACCGCGGCGTTTTCTCTGGACACCCGCCCAGCGCACGAGGCGGCAACGCTGCGGCAACGGGCGGCAGTCGGTGGCAACACGGCGAAGCCTCGCCGGACCCCCAGAGCGCGAGGGGCGTCAACGACGTGGCAACGGGCGGCAGCGTGGCGAAACCTCGGCGGACGCCCGCGCGCACGAGGCGGCAGCGAGGCGGCAGCGGGCGGCCACGTGGCGAAACCTCGCCGGAGGCGCCGCTGGGCGTGTCCCGTGCAGATCCCAGGCGTCCCTGCGGAGCTCCCAAGGGTCGTGCTGGCGCCGATGCCTCCCAGGTTCCGCACGGACCAGGCATTGGGGGCCAAAGCCTGGCGTGTACGATGGGGGGCGTCCCTCCCCGAGGGGGGTGCGTCCGAATGGGCCCCCTTGGGGCGTATCCCAGTCTTGAAGGGGCCCCCGGACACACAAATAGATACACACAAATAAAAAGATTCCCCATAAAGAGGAATTGACGATTGATTGTGTCTGTGTGTTTTTTCCTCTCCTGAGGTCTTCCCCCCTCTGTCTGAGCGGCGGAACTCGTCGGGCGGAACCCGGGGACGGGGGCAGAAACATCGCCTGCCAGCTTCTGCCCTTTAGTCTCCATGCCCTGCGGGTTGTTGAAGGCCCGGCCCAGGATCGTCAGGAGCTGCGCGAAGGCCTCGCCCGGATCGCCCTGCGAGCCGAGGGGCGGCGCGGGTGCCTGCTGCGCCGCCCCCTCCCTGGCGGTCAGCCGCAGCAGCGCCGGCCGCGCCGGTGCCGGCGCCGACGACAGGGAGCTCTCGGAGCCGCCCGACGTGACCTGGTCGGGGGCAGTGAACCCAGACAGCCCGCGATGCGGTTTGCGGGCAAGACTTGTCTCTACATCCGCTGCAGCTTGGAGCTGCGGGCTCCCTTCCGCACAAACCCGAGGTGCACTGGACATGGAGAAAAATCGGGCCCCTAGAGGCGGAATGTTCATCCACAACCAGTGCGCCTCGGCCCTGTGGCGTTTTTTCCAAGAAGAGTCCAAGACGAACTGGACATTGATACGAAGCTTGCCCGCACGATTCGTCCAGCCCGCAGCCCCAGAACTCTTCCGACTCGCTCGGCAGCGGTAGCTTTGCGCCTCAGGCCCATGCTCCTTGGCCAGAGTAGGCAGAGGGATTTCGTCACGTGATGCGAATTTCCCCCCTCCCCTCCAGATCCCCCTCCTCTCCTTCCTCTTTCTATCCTCCTCCTCCTCCTCCTCCTCCTCCTCCTCCTACTCCTCCTCCGATTCGCACCACGTGACGGACCCACGTCGCCGACAGGGGCCGGAGCGCAGCTCCGAAGCCACGAAGCACCGGCGGCGGAGCGAATCGCACCCTCGGCAGCATAGGAAGCCGGACCACCTCACCGACCCCGGCGCGAGGCCCGTCCGGGACCCACCGGGACCAGCGCGCACGCCCGCCCGGCCGAGCCGGGAGGGCACTCAAGAGCGCGGAGCGATCGCGGGCGGCCCCCGCGAGGGGCCTGGCAGCGGGCATCGGCGAGGCGGCCCGAGGACGCCCCCCCGAGCCTGGTGGGCCTGGATCACCCTCTGGATCTCCCGGAGGTGGGCCTCCTTCTCCTCGCGAGGAGGGGGGCGCGCACGGCGCCACCCGCAGGAAGCGTATACACTCGCGGAGGCCCGCACGGCCGTCTCGGGTGGGCGCTGGGCCCCCCCCCCCTCTCCCCTGACCTTCCAGAACAGTTTTTTTTTAGCACGGGAGGCCTAAAAACCTAAAACACGAAACGATATATAATAGCTCTGGGATAGGTTTTTAAGTCGCGTGCTATTTTTTCGCCCTCCTGGAAGGTCCTGGTCTTCCCTGGCGCACGACGGCCGCCAGGGGCAGCAGCCAGAGGCCCGGGGCCGACCCAAGAACTCCGCGCGGACCTCCGGAGCGTGTGCGCTCGAGGCGTGGCTGCGTGGCTGTTTCTGATATAGCCGATCCTCCGCAGCCCTCTTGGCCGTCGTCAGGGTCTTCTGCCACTTCTCCGCCGACATCTGGAGGTTCCGGGCGTCCTCGCGGGCCCTCTCGATGTCCCTCTGGAGGTTGCTCTTTTCCAGCTCCAGTATGCTCTGGACCTTCGTCCACTCGAGCTTCTCGTTCTCCAGCCTGTCCTTGTCCCGCTCCACCCCGGACATGGCCTCCTCGAGCGTGCGCTTGTCGGACTCCAGCTTCTGCTTCTCCTTGCCCACCAGCTGCAGGTTCTCCCACCACGCGTCCGCGGTGGACTGCACCTTCTTCTTCTCGTCCTCGGCCATGGCCCGCTCCTCCTCGGCCTCCTTCAGCTTCTCCATGGCGGACCTCCTCTGCTCCTCCGCCATCACCAGCTTGATGTTGGCCGTGCGCACCATCTCCTGCGCCTCCTTCTGCTGCACCTGGATCCTGTGCTTGTTCTCCTGGAGCACAGCCCGCATCTCGCCCTTGTGGTGCATGTCCAGCAGCTCGTGGCACTGCACGGCCACGGTGCTCGGGAAGGCGGCCGCCGCAGTCTTCACCACTCGGATCGTCGAGCCCAGGTCCTGGGACAGCACCGATACCGCCACCCTGCCCGGGTCACCTCACTTCGCGCATCGCGCACCGCGATGCGCCACTGCCTTCGCGCTCTCGCGAGGCCGCCCTGGAGAAGGGCGCCTCTCCATCCCGAGCCGCGACGCGCGAAACGCGACTACCTTCGCGCCCCTTTGGGGGGACCTCGTCTCGCGGGGCGCGTTCTGACCAGGACCCCGAGGCGAGTCCAGCTGTGGCGACGAGGGGCACCCAGGAGGCCCCCGAAGGGCGGAAGAGAGGCACGGGTGGCGGTAATGTCGGACTCTTCCCCCCTCACGTTGCGCCGTGGTTCTCATGGCAGCCGCTCGGGACGTTCTGGGCTCCCCCTTGGAACGCTCTCGGCGAGGCGCAGCTGCTGGAGGGCATCCCGAGGCAAGAAGGCCGCCGAAAAGGGCCGAAAACGCCGGAAAACCGACCCCCCCCCCCCTCGCGTCCCAGAGATCCGATGTCCTGCTCCGTCCCATGCGGGGTCCCTGAAGTCCCGACCCACTCCTGTGGACCGGCTGTTCATCCTGAGTCGTTTTTCGACTGCACGCAAGGAGTGACCCTGGGTAAGAGTGACCTTTGGTGCGCGGCTTTTTGGAGGCCGCGGGGGGGCCAAACACAAGCGCGCAAGACGCCACTGCCGCCTCGCGTTCGGCGATCGGGGGACCCCATTGGGCCCGCACCAAGGGTCACTCCGGCGAAGGGCCACTCTTACGTCCAGTCGAGCCGTTCCCTCTCCCTGCAGTCCTCGATGGCCTCGATGGCCTGCGCCCGGGCCTTGTCGTAGTCGCCCCCGCCGAAGAGCAGGCGCAGGTCGGTGCCGTCGCCAGGCGCCAGCTCCGCGAGGCGGCGGTGCACCTCGGAGTTGCCCACGTCGGCCCCGAAGTGCTCGCTGACCTGCCCCCTGCGCAGGAGGCGCATGCCCTGCAGCACGGTGTCGGAGTCGCCGACCTTAGAAGAAGACGTGCTCCGCCTCCTCTTCTTCCTCCTCCTCCTCCTCCTCCTCCTTGGTGTCAGGCAGACATCAGCGGCGGGGCTGCTGCGATCCGCAGTCAAACGAACCCTCACAGGGACGGGCGCGGACAAATCCCAGGAGGACGAGTCACAAAACAACACAAACCTACGTAACGTGAACTTTCGGAACTCCGAAAGTGGTCTGTTGATGCATTTTCGTTATCCTTCCAGACCTTCAAGTCCTTCTTCAGCACAAGTTTGTCGGCGGACAAGATGCCCTGGATGCGCTTCAGCTCCTTGGCCATCTTGTCCGCCGGCACGAGCGCCACCCGCATGTCTGCGGAGTCCAGCGCCTTCTCGAGCTGCTCCTGCGTGGCCTCCATGTTCTTCGCGGCCCCCTCCAGCTTGGTCATCCAGTACTGCTCGGTGTCCGCGTAGATCGTGGAGAAATGCTCCAAGACCTTCTGGACGACGCTGTACTCATCCTTGTGCTCCGCGCCCCACCACGCCTGCCGGATCCACGTCGTGGAGCCCGCGTCCACGGAGTGCGTGGGGCTCACCCGCTCGAGGAACCGCTGCAGCTCGCCGGGCATCTCGACGAGGACGTCGCTGGCCTGCGTCTGCTTGCGCCAGGTACGATACACGATCTCGACGGCGTCGTGCATGGCGACCAGCTCGACGTTGTGGCGGAACAGCTTGCGCAGCTTGGCCGGCTGGTGCTCCTTGACGGCCTTGGGGACGGCCGCCCACGAGGCGGTCAGCACGTCCAGCTGCGCCACCAGCAGCTGCTGGCACAACTGGCGCGACGCGTCGTCCTTGCCCGGGAAGCGCGCCCGGAAGTCCTCGCGCGTCAGCACCTGGAAGTGCTGGTGGAGCGTCATGGCCGACTCGGCGAAGGCGTCGTACTTGATCTCCCAGCCGTGCTGCAGCAGCGACGTGACCAGCGAGCACTTCAGGCGGAAGAACTCGTTGTGCCGGAGCAGCCGCGCGGAGGCGGCGGCCCAGTTCCCCGACGCCTGCCCGCGGGAGAGCTCCGGCATGGGGCCCAGGATCTCCTCCCACGAGGGCATGATCTGCGCGACGATGCCCGCCTGCCCCACGAGCACCTCCGCCATTGCACCCCAGGGGTGCGGGCGTCAATCTTCGCCTCCCCCCGGGCGTCTGCGCCCCCTTCCGTGACCCTATGGGCCCTCGCGGCGCGACCGGGCTCGAGAAGTGCCACAGGAGGACGGGGTCTGGCGGTCCGGCCGTGATTTGCAACAGCGCTGCATCTGCCTCGCGACGTCGGATCGCCGGCTTCGCCACGAAAGAGCCTGTGCTCCGAAGGAGACAGGTCCTGGCAGATGCGCATCGTTTAGCCGATCCCTATCCCCACTCGCGTCTCCTGGGCCCCGCTGGCCAGTTTACCCCCCCAGATGGGGATATATAGCCAGTTCCCGTCAGATTTCGAAGGGTATATCCCCAACTGGGGGGATGAGGTTGGGGGGGGGCTGGATGGGGATGGGGATGGGGATGGGGATGGAGATCGGCGAAACGATACTGAGCAGAGGCGGGTCCTGAACCCTCGAGCTCCCCCCTGGAGCCAGCCGTTCGTCCTGGGTCGCTCTGCTGCCGGCTCCTGTGGCCCTGGAGCGGCCCCTGTATAGAGGCCGAAGGCTGCGACCGGCCTCAAGAACCTGCACTTTTCAACCGGGGCCGGGAGGAGGAGGAGGAGGAGGAGGAGGAGGAGGAGGAGGAGAAGGAGGAGGAGGAGGAGGGGGTAGGCGACCCGAGGAGGAGGAGGAGGAGAATCGGACTTGGCCGGGATCGTTGTAGCATGCCTCTTGGATGGCCGCGAGGGTTGCGCAGGCGGATGCCAAGGTGGTCATCCCCGATGCATTGGCGACGCCTTCGCCTCTTCCGACGCAGTCAGTCTTCGCGACGTCGGCCCCTGGGATCTGGACAGTGTTCCCGGGCTGGCTGTTCACACCGAGTCGTCTCTTGACGGTCCCGAGGCCTGGAGACGCCCACTGTGCTGGGCCCCCCAGCAGCCCTCGAAAGTGGCGACAGTTTCACAGATCGCAGCCCCCCAGGGATGGCGAGGTCCAATTTGAGTCCGCGGTGAGTACCCACTGTGCTGAGCCCCCCAGCAGGCCTCGAAAGTGGCGACAGTTTCACAGATCGCAGCCCCCCAGGGATGGCGAGGTCGAGGAGGACGTCGGGATTTTTTGCTCCACTTGGTTCTGATGGTCCTCTTCATAGCGACACCTTCCGTGCAGTCAGGGTGCCTCCCAATTCCCAGGAGGAGGGGACAGGAGGGGAGGATAGGAAGCAGCAGCAGGAAGAGGGAAGAGGAAAGAAGGGAGGAGGAGGAGGAGGAGGAGGAGGAGGAGGAGGAGGAGGAGGAGGAGGAGGAGGAGGACTCTTTTAGCATTGCTTCGGGGTGTACTGAAGCGCGGGTGCCACACCAGCACGCAACTGACCACATGGCTCATCCAGGAGCATTCCAGAAGAAGAAGCGGATCTGTCGAACGATCCCCAGATGGAGGAGGGAGGGGAGGAAGAGAGAAGAGAAGCGGAGGAAGAGGAGGAGGGACACTGACTAGGGTTACTGGCCTGCTGCCCTTGTAACCCTCTTCTGAGCTCAGGAATGAAAAGGGGAGAGTAGCTCGAAAGATTACCTCATTACCCTGTCTGTAGTTGAAGGGATCCCCTTTTGAGTGCACGGCTCCAGTTCGACTTCACTCTGGCTGAATCTTTTTTGCTTCGCCCTGGCTGGATCTTTGAAGGCGGCCGCATGGGCTCTTCAAGCCCTGCTACGGAGGCCCCTCAGAGCAGCTACCACAAGCACGACAATTGATGAAGGTACAAGGGCTCCCAGCTTCGCGCTTCGCGCTGCGCGCAGTGCGAATAACTTCGCGCTCTCGCGCCGCCTCCCAGGGGAGAAGAGGAGGATGAGGGATCGGAGCCGAACCGCGAAGCGCGAATAACTTCGCGCACTCGAGGGCGCCCTTGAAGATACCCGTCGGATGCTCCGACAAGTACAGCGCATTGCCGCGCTGGTTGTGGCACAGGCTGCGAAGACTGGGTGGCGCTCTGCGGGACCCTGCGTCAGGGGGATAGGGCACGGAGAAAGCGGCAGCCTGGCCACCGCACCTCCGCATGGGCCTGCCCGGCACGAGCACCGCGGCGCTGGCAGCGCAGGCCAGGCCAAGATTCTTCTGGGCACCACCTCCAGGCATGGAGGAGCCGTCTCCAACGGCCTGGGCGGGCTCAGCAGGGAGGAAGGGCCACGACCTGCAGCAACAACTGCACCAGCTGCCGGGCCCATGCGCCCTGGGCCGCTGCAGGATCCGCTCAGGAGTATGAGGACCCCATGCCTGGAAAAAGGAACAGTGCACTCCCTCGGATGACGGCCGGCACAACTGACTCCAACATCCCTTCGGGAGGATCGGGGAAGAGAGACGACGCTTCGGTGTGAGTCGTAGAAGTCGTTCGAGGGCTTGACTTTGGGAATCCAGCGAAGTTACCTCGACATTGCTAGGCCGCTCGTGCTTTGTAGCACCCAGCTTTCACGATGCATCTGCCTCTTCATTCCCCCAGGCGTTGTACCAATCGGGCGAAGAATGCGCGCACGACTCAGGAAGAACATGGGCTCTCGCTTTCGGGACCTCGAAACCTGGTGGATCTCTGCAGAGGGCTTTCAACCTGACCCTGGATAATAACTCTTGCTTTTGGAGGTTGGATAAACAAGACTTCGACGGCATACCAACGACCCCATAACTATATGTAAAGGCGGTCCTGTCTCCTGGAATAGGAGTCACCAAAGCGCGGTCAGGTCTTCAAGAGCTGGGGAGGTTAGTGGTAGCTTGTCTCACAGTGCACCGAGAATATGGCCTAAGAGAGATATCGCGGGCGACAGCTTTAAGACTTCTCATCCTGCTCGAGGATGATTGGGGATGCTGGAAAATGCGGAGGAGGAGGAGTTGGAGGAAGAGAGGGAGGGGGAGGGATGGATGAGGAGGAGGGAGGACGGGGACATGGAGAAGGAGGGGGAGGAGGAGGAAGAGGTGGAGGAGGAGGAGGAGGAGGAGGGAGGAGGAGGGGAAGAAAGGAGGAGGAGGAGGAGGAGGAGGTGAAGGAGGAGGGAGGAGGAGGGGGGAGGAGAGGAGGAGGAGGAGGAGGAGGAGGAGAGGAGGAGGAGGAGGAGGGAGGGAGTCCAGGTGGAGGAGGAGGAGGAGGAGGAGGAGGAGGAGAGGAGGAGGAGAGAGGAGAGAGGAGGAGAGAGGAGGAAGAGGAGGGGGAGGAGGAGGAGGAGGAGGAGGAGGAGCGAGCGAGCCAGCAGAGGTGCAGGTCAATGAATAACACCTAGCTGAAGAAGAGTGGGAGCAGCACCCGTGCCAGTCACTGAGACCAACAAAGCGCCCCATGGAAAGTTAACAGTCCACACAATTCCGACTGCCGCAGCACAGGAAGGATGTCCGAGTCCGAGCTGTCGTCATCCCCGCGAGAAGGGGTCTGACTCGGAAGCACACTACGAAGACCATCCTCTTCAGGGGGCAGGGACACACCTTCGAGCCCAGCCACCGAGCCAACATTGGCCCCGAGCGGGGCCGCGGCGGAGCCAGGAGCGACGGACGAGGGCACCTGCTGGACATCCAAAGGAAGAGGAGGCCGCATGGTACCGGTGCCCGCATTCGGATGCCTCCCTCGAGCTGCGAGCGCCAACTTCCAGCGGTGACCGTCACGGGTGGTCTTCACCCGCGACACGCCCCGGAAAGTTCTCTCTTTAGCCCACGGCCAAAGCAGCACAAGCGCACACGCACAATTCAGGCATATTACTACTCGCCCATATCTGACGCCCCTACCACCGAGGAGGAAGAGGAGGAGGAGGAGGAGGAGGAGGAGGAGGAGGAGGAGGAGGAGGAGGAGGAGGAGGAAGAAGCGGCTTTGTTATCAGGCTTGCGGTTCTCCGGCCTTTTGGCCGCGTTCCCCCCCCCCCCCCAGCGTGGACGAGCAATCGCGCCGCTGGGCCAGCGGCAACCACGCCAGGGGTGCCAGACGTCACCGCACCGCGGTCAGTTCTCCCTCCTGGGGTGGGAGGGGGGGGCCAGAGGGGAGGGGGAAACTCACCAGGGTGGGCCAGCTCCGCCCTCGGGCCAGGGGTGCACCACCCTGGCAGGCCAGGCCCAAGCCCCCGCAACGTGCACATCGGGGGGGGGGACGGGGGAGAGGGACCGCGAAAGAGAGCGGGGAGAAAGGGCAGACCGCGAGCGAGGGGGGCGAGGAGCAGGGCGGGCGCGCCGATGAGGGGAGGAGGAAGGAGAAAAAATGTCGAGGGTGGGAGGGCCCACCCGGCTCTCACCACTACGCGGGCCCCGTCGGAACCGACGGCCGCCGACGAGCCGAAGCCGTCGTCGGCTGCCCCGTCCTCCGCCCCTGTAGCTTAAAAGCTGCTTGTCGACTTGGTGGACACGTCGAACACGCGCACGGAGCGGGGGGAGGAGCCCCGGTGGTGGCCCCCCCCCGGCCCCCACCCCACCACCACGTGTGCCCCGTCGTTAGCAGCCCCGTCTTCCGCCCCAAGCTTAACCAGCTGGTCGCCGGTGGCCCACCCCGGCGTTCCCTACCGCGCGGGCCCCATTGAAGCTCACAACCATCGACGAGCCGAACCCATCTTTGGTGGCTCCGTCCGCCGCCCAGGGTTTCAGAAGCCAGTCGCCGGCGGCCGCGTCGAACACATGTTCGGAGCCAGGGAGAGGAGGGAGGGGGGGAATCCCCGGGCGCCCATCGCCATCACGCGGGCCCCGTCGGACCTCACGGCCACCGACGAGCCGAAGGCGTCGTCGTTCCGCTGCTGGTCGCTGGTGGCCCCGTCGGGCAAACGGAAGGAGCAGGCAGGAGGAAGGGGAGGGGGGAGAGCAAGACGGGGCGACAGGGGGGGAGGATAGCGGCGGTCGGCATCGGATGGGAGAGGGACGGAAGACCCCAGGCTCCGCGCGCGGGGCCCCGTCGGAACCCACGGCCGCCGACGAGCCGCGGCCGTCGGCGGCGGCCCCGCCCTCCGCCCCGAGCTTAAGCAGCTGGTCGCTGGCGGCCCCGTCGAACGCGCGCGCGTGGAGCCGGAGGGAGGGGGCCCCCCTGATCCCCACCACCACTCAGCGAGCGAAGAACTGTATAAAATAAACTTTTTCGCTGTCGGGGGGCGCCTGTCCCTGGGCGGCTGGAAAGTTTATACCCCTACGGTGCCACCGTAAGGGTATAAACTTTCCAGCCGCCCTGGGGCAGGCGCCCCCGACAGCGAAAAAGTATATTCTATACCGCCCTTCGCCCGTTAAACCACGCGGGCCCCTTCGGAACCTACGGCCACCGACGAGCCGAAGGCGTCGTCGACGGCGCCGTCCTCCGCCCCGGGGATGCAGAGCCGGCCACGGGCGGCCCCGTCGAACACGTAAGTACGCGGTGCCGGAGGAGAGCGGCCCCCACCACCACGCGACGGCCCCGCCCTCCACCCCGAGATGCAGCAGCTGTGCGCCGTCCTCCCCACCCCCAACAACACCGCGCAAGCCAGGTCGGACTTCGCAGCGACCGACGAGCCGACGCCGTCGTCGGCGGCCCCGTCCTCTGCCCCGAACTTAAGCAGCTGGTTGCCAGTGGCCCTGTCGGGCACGCGCGCGTCGACAGAAGGAGAAGAGAGGAGGGAAGGAGGCCCCCCCTTGGCCGCTGCCACCGCGCGCCGTCCCCATCAAAGCTTACGGCCACCCACGAGCCCGAGGCTTTGTCGCGGCGGCCCCGTCCTCCGCCCTGAGCTTCAGCAGCTGCTCGCTGGCGGCGCCGTCGAGCAAACAAGTGGAGCCGGAGGGGGGGACCCCCCTTCCGGCCCCAACCACGCGGGCCCCGTCGGAGCTCGCGGCCCCCGACGAGCCGAAGCCGTCGTTGGCGGCGCCGTCCTCTGCCCCGAACACGGAACTGAACTGAAAGGAAGAGGGAGGGGGACCCCCCTGGACCCCACCACCACGCGGGCCCCGTCGGAGCTCTCGGCCACCGAGAAGCCAAAGCCGTCGACGGCGGCCCCGCTCCCTACCCCGAGCTCCAGCACCTGAGCGCTAGTGGCACCGTTGAACAAGCGCGCGGGGCCCGAGGGAGGAGCACCATCCCGGCCCCCAGCGCCACGCGGGCCTCGTCGGAGATCATGGCCAGCGACAAGCCGAAGCCGTCTTCGGCGGCCACGTGCTTTCTCCGCCCCGAGCTACAACAACAGGTCGCCCGTGGCCCCATCGAACGCGCACGCGGAGCAAGGATGAAGGCAGGGAGGAGTCCCCCTCCGGCTCCCGCCACCACGCGGGCCCCCTTCCGAGCTCACGGCCACCGAGGAGCCGAAGCCGTCGTCGGCGGCCCCGTCCTCCACTCCGAACTTCAGCTGGTGGTCGCTGGCGTTCCGTCCAGCCGTGCCCTGCGACCTGTCCTGCTCGCGAGTGGGCCAGGCTCCCCGAGGGCGGAGGAGGGGGAAGAGGAGGTGGAGGAGGGGGGAGGAGATGCATGAGGAGGCGGAGGAGGAGGAGGAGGAGGAGGAGGACGATGAGGAGGAGGCGGAGGTGGAGATGCGCAGATGAAGGAGGAGGCGGAGGAGGAGATGGAGGAGGTGGTGGAGGAGGGGAGGAGGAGATGAGAAGGTGGTGGAGGAGGAGGCGGAGGAGGAGGAGGAGGAGGAGGAGGAGGAGGAGGAGGAGGAGGAGGAGGAGGAGGAGGAGGAGGAGGAGGAGGAGGAGGAGGAGGAGGAGGAGCCCTCCCCCAGCAGAGCCACCTTCAGGATGCCGCTGTCCACCGGCACTGGCGCTGGCGAGCGGAAGAGGAGCGCCAGCGGCTGCTGCGCCACCGCCGCGGCCCCGCCGCCGGGCGTCGTGCCGAGGGCGCGGCGCATCTCCTCGTGGCGGCGCGCGCAAGGGGGGCGCCGAAAGGCAGCAGCTACCCGGATCCCCTCGCGGGTCATCATCGGTGGCCACTCACGGGATCCTCCCATACCATCTTGCCGGCTTTTGCGAATCGACGCCTGTCGACGCAACATCGGCGCTAATCGATGAGACCTCTGGGGGTAGACGCTCCTTGACACAATCATGACGTCGGGGGTCTGCGTACGGTCAGAAACTTTTGATAGCGCGGCTCTGGCCCCGACGACACGCAATGCCCCGCGAGCAGATAGAGTGTCTCTCCGCTCCGCGGGGCGGGAGGCTTGGGAAAACTCGGGACGTTGACGTTGGGCTGCCAGGAAGTCCCACCACCAGCCCTTTGGGCGACAGGTGGTCTAACGAGGGTCTCGTTCCTCTTCCACGACCCCGCTTCCCTTCGTGGAGGGGAACCCTCCCCCTCCCCTCCCTGAGGTGTTCGGGGAGGGGTCGCGAGATGTCGAAGGCTCCTTTTTGTCGGCCCTTGGGAGGGCCACTTTTCTGGCACGCCTCACGAGGATCGTGGCCTCCAAGGGCGGGGACGGAAATCGAATACCCCCCCTCTTTTGACCGACCGCCTCCAAGATGGCCCCAAGAGGCCCTCCAGGGTTCTCTAGAGGCCCCCTAAGAGGGCTCCAATTGCGCCCCAAGAGGCCCCAAGAGGGCTCCAAGAGACACCCGAGAGGTACCCGAGAGGCCCCCGAGCGGCCTCAGAGAGCCCAAGATGACCTCCAAGATGGCTCAAATAGCCCAAGCTGGCTCCAGATGTCTCCCAAGATGCCCCAAGCGGCCCCAAGACTGCTCCAAGACGGATCGAGATGGCCACGGAGCCTCCCGAGCCTCCCTCGCTGCTTGACTCTGCGTGTCGATTCCCCTCTCCCCCCGTCAACTCTCATGGGCATCGTTTATGCATGGGCTGGTGGGGACACTTATATATATATATATATATATATATATATATATATATATTATATATATATATAAAGATTTTTTTTTTTTTAAAAAAAAAAAAAAAAAAAAAAAAAAAAAAAAAAAAAAAAAAAAAAAAAAAAAAAAAAAAAAAAAAAAAAAAAAAAAACATAAAACATAAAAAAAAAACAAAAAAAAAAAAAAAAAAAAAAAAAAAAAAAAAAACGGCCGCAGGCGAACGCGCCAGCGGCGGGCGAAGTAGGTCGGGCCGCGACCGGCTTAAATTACCGACGGCTCACGCGCGCGACTAGGCGGCCGCGGCGGCGCCGGATGCAGCAAGCAGCAACTGCGGCGAGGGTGAGGCTGATCCCAGGGAGAGCTGAACCCAGGGGGGCAGAGCTGCAAGGTGACCCAGGGAAACCGCTGGTGGGGACACGCGAAGCGTCAAGAGCGGATAGCGTGTCGCACCGAAGCATGGCGGGCCAGAGCTGGCGGAGCGACACGCTCTGCAGGAGTGCATGCCCGGCCGTGAGCCGGCCCGGGAGACGCTCGGCCGGGCGGAGCTCGGGCGGCCGAGCCCGACCGGGCGGAGCTCGGCGAGGCAGGCCTCGGCCAGGGCGGAGCTCGGCCAAGCGGAGTTCGCCCCGGGCCGAGCTCGGCCTGCTGGGATGACCGTGGGGGGTTCTAGGTGGACAGGGGGGGGGTATACAAAAGTGGATCCTGAGGTGGGTTCTGTCTGGCCCAACCTGGCTTAGAAGTGAGTTACACATTCCCCGAGTGGCTTAGGGGGGGGTTAGATAGACCCGCTGAGTGGGCGGAGCCCACTTCGCCCAGATCGCTAACACCCCTCAGCTACTTGGGGCACTTGTAGCCCACTTAGAAGCCAGGGTGGGTCAGATATAACCCACCTCGGCATCCACTTGTAACCCCCCAGTCCACTTAGAAGCCCCAACGGTCATCCCCGCAGTCGAGTTGCGCTGGCCGATATCAACCTGGCCGGGTTTCGCCTGACCGCCAGCTGAGTCTTGCCTTGTCCCACATGTCCTCCTCAACATGCCCACGTCGTGAAAGAACACACCGGCCTCCGAGGACCCTCGCTCAGGCCCGAGGACCGGGATGAGAAGCTGACCACAGGGAATGGGTCGGGACATCCCCATGGAGACCCCGCATTGAAAAACCAAAGCATCGAATGTCGATGTCTGGGCTCGCGTCCCAGCCTCCGAAGGCCCTCAGAGGGCCCCAGGGCCAGAACAACAACGGCTCAGGATAAAGGGCCAGCCTCCGGGAAGGAGTCAAGACCTTTGGGAAACCACGATTCTAGATCCGCCGACCCCTGCGCGAGACCTGTGGCTGACCACCTCCCCACTTCCCCGTCCCCCGGGGTCCAAAATCGTATTTAGGGGGAGGGGGGGGGGTCCCCAGGCTCCCAAAAGCACCCCCTGGGGCCTCCAGAGCCTTCACATCTACACCACGTGACCTCCAAGAGGCCCATGATGCAATCTCAGCCGCCCATTCTGAATATGAACCAGGCTGACTCTGGCCTAGGGTCCACAAACGTTGAAGAAGATGACCGAAAAGAAATCGGTCTCCTACCAGTTGATCATCATGATGATGCCATCTCAGCTGGCTCAAGCTGGGCGCCAACACGCCGAGGATAGCTCAGAAACGATCAAGGTGGCCTCAAAGCTGTCCGAGTGGCCTCCGAGACGCCCCAAAAGGGCTCCAAGAGGATTCGTCTCTTCGGCCTCAACAACGTCCAAGGCTGCTCAAGAGGCCCCCAAGATCGCTCCAAGACTGCCCGAGAAGCCCTCAATATGGCCCAACGACTGCCCAAGACAGCCCCAAGGCGACCCAAGCGCCGTCGTGGTCCAAGACAGCCCCAACAGGGTCCCGATAGGGGTACATCGAACTGATAGTTCGAGCCCTCCGCCCCAAACGGACCCCCAAGACCGCCAGCAGGCGCCCAAGAAGGCCCTCAAGCGGGCCCCAACTGATCCCCAAGACGCCTCCAAGACGACCCAAGGACACCCAAAAGGCCCTCCCAACACTCACAACGCCCCTAAAAGGGCTCAAGGACTCATCCGTGGACTTCGTTTTTCCTCGGGGGGTCGGCGGAATGGCGTAAGCCTCTTGAGTCGCGGCGTCGCATGTCTGGGTCTGGGAGCCCTGTGGACTTCTACAAGGCAGGGGCCTGCTTCCCAGACCCCCGACGTCATGATGCTTTCATGACGTCGGCCCCCCGACCTCTCGACCCCTTCCCCGGGACGGGCTTCTCGCCCCGAGTCGCTTCTGTTGACGGTCCCGAGGCCCGGTCAGGGCCCCCAGAGGCCGACAACAGCGAAAATTCTCCCGTCGTGAGTTCTGTCATGACTCGATTGGGCGCCCGAGTTATCCGGGGTAACTCGGGTCCGGGGTAACTCGAGTTTGGAATCCCGAAAAACAAACCCGAGTTAGCCCTGACCCGAGTCACCCCTGATGATTCGGGGCTCTGAATTTCTGTCATGACTCGAGGGGGTCTGGGCCAGAGGGGCCCACTCCTCGGAGGCCTTCGTAGAGACGCCCCCGGCGTAGCCTCCCCGAGGGGCCCCCCCGGGCGCCTTCGACGGCCGCCCCCCCTCGCGCCGATCGCCCCTTTACCAGCCTCGAACGTGTCCCTATCCCTAAGTCTGACACGCCAAAAGGCGATGACAATCTTCGGGGTCCGCCCTCAAAAATTACTCCGACGGAAGGACCCCGCATGAGAATCTCTTTAGCTTGCATGGGGGTGTCCTCCTGCCCCCTCCCTTCTCCCACCCACTCTTGCCTCCTCGTCCTCCTCCTGTCTGCTCCTCCTCCTGCCTCAACCCCTGCCTCTTCCTCCTCTTCTTGCCTCCTCCACCTCTTCCCCCTCCCCCTCGTTATGCTTCCTCCCCCCCATTCCCCCTGCCCCTCCTGCCTCCTGCCTCCTGCCTCCTCCTCCTGCTCTCCCTCTCCCTTTCCCTCTCCTCCTCATCCCCTGTCCTCCTCCTCTCCCTCTCTCCTCATCCGCTTTCCTCCTCCTCCTCCTCCTCCTCCTCCTCCTCCTCCTCCTCGTTTCCATATTCCTCCCCCCTCCTCCCCCCCCCTCCTCCTCCTCCTCCTCCTCCTCCTCCTCCTGCCTCCTCCTTAGGCCTCCTGCCCCCTCCTGGGGCCTCCTGGGGCCTCTTGGGGCCTCCTGGAGCCTTCTGGGCCTTCCGGGACCTACTGGGGCCTCCTCGGGCATTCCTCCTCCTCCTTTTCCTCCTCGTCCTTCCTCCCCTCAGCCTCTTCCTCTTCCTGCTTTCCTGTCTCGTCCTGCATCATCCCTCCTCCTTTTCCTGGCAATCCTCCTCCTCCTCGTCCTCGTGCGGAACACGACCCAGAGGAAGCGCACGACGTGCGTCCCAGCCGATACGCGCCGGAGGACGACCCAGAGGAAGCGCGCGCCGGAGGATGACCCGGAGGAACCACGTGAGCTGCGGGACCCATAGGAAGGCTCCCGCCTGACGCGTCCTCACAATTCACTCACAGACGAGGGTCCCGCTTGATACTTCTTCCAAATTCAAACCTGAGGAGCCCAAAAGTGACGACAATTACAGGAATCCGATGACCCGCTCGGATTAATAACATGATCTGCGGGCCCCATAGGGAGGGGGCTCCCGCCTGAGACTTGCTCGCAATTCACTGACAAACGAGGCTCCCGCCTGATACTTCCTCCAAATTCAGACCTGAGGAGCCCAAAAGTGACGACAGTTACAGGAATCCGATGACCCGCTTGGATTAATAACATGATCTGCGGGCCCCATAGGGAGGGGGCTCCCGCTGAGACTTCCTCACAATTCACTCACAGACGAGGTTCCCGCTTGATACTTCCTCCAAATTCAAACCTGAGGAGCCCAAAAGTGACGACAGTTACAAGAATCCGATGACCCGCTCGGATTAGTAACATGATCTGCGGGCCCCATAGGGAGGGGGCTCCCGCCTGAGACTTGCTCGCAATTCACTCACAGACGAGGCTCCCGCTTGATACTTCTCCAAATTCAAACCTGAGGAGCCCAAAAGTGACGACGGTTACGGGAATCCGATGACCCGCTCGGATTAGTAACATGATCTGCGGGCCCCATAGGGAGGGGGCTCCCGCCTGAGACTTCCTCACAATTCACTCACAGACGAGGCTCCCGCTTGATACTTCCTCCAAATTCAGACCTGAAGAGCCCAACAGTGACGACAGTTACACGAAATCGATGACCCGCTCGGATTAATAACATGATCTGCGAGCCCCATAGGGAGGGGGCTCCCGCCTGACGCGTCCTCACAATTCACTCACAGACAAGGGTCCCGCTCGATACTTCTTCCAAATTCAGACCTGAGGAGCCCAAAAGTGACGACAGTTACAGGAATCCGATGACCCGCTCGGATTAGTAACATGATCTGCGGGCCCCATAGGGAGGGGGCTCCCGCCTGACGCGTCCTCACAATTCACTCACAGACGAGGGTCCCGCTTGATACTTCTTCCAAATTCAGACCTGAGGAGCCCAAAAGTGACGACAGTTACAGGAATCCGATGACCCGTTCGGATTAGTAACATGATCTGCGGGCCCCATAGGGAGGGGGCTCCCGCCTGAGACTTGCTCGCAATTCACTCACAGACGAGGCTCCCGCTTGATACTTCCTCCAAATTCAGACCTGAGGAGCCCAAAAGTGACGACAGTTACAGGAATCCGATGACCCGCTCGGATTAGTAACATGATCTGCGGGCCCCATAGGGAGGGGGCTCCCGCCTGAGACTTCCTCACAATTCACTCACAGACGAGGCTCCCTCTTGGTGGATGATGGTGATGGGATGATGACGACGGTGTTTGATGATGATATATGATTGATGATGATGATGATGATGATGATGATGATGATGATGATGATGATGATGATGGTGGTGGTGGTGATGATGACGACGTGATGATGATGATGGTGGTGATGATGAGTGCTGATGGTGAGTGATCGTGCGATTCTGATGGTAAATGGTGGTGATGATGATGGGGACGAAGTGGTGAGTCAGCGAGTAGTGATGATGATGATGATGATGATGATGATGATGATGATGATGATGATGATGATCGTTCGATGCCGATGATGGTGAGTGATCGTGCGATGGTGATGGTGATGGTGATGGTGATGCTGATGGTGATGATGATGATGATGATGATGATGATGATGATGATGATGATGATGAGTGGGGAGTGATGGTGATGGTGATGATGATGCGGAGGAGGAAGTAAAGAGGAGCAGAGGAGAGGGAGGAGGACTAGAGATCCTGCGCGGAGGGTGTGCAGAGAAAACAAGAACCCCAAATCTTCGGGATCCGCCATCAAAAATAAGGGAACCCCTAAGGTTGGCATCGTGATGAAGAGATGCCCAGCATAGGGATAGGGATGTGTTCCAGGCTGGTAAGCCCCTGGCGCGCGCCGCCGATCCTTCGCGGAGCGAATGACGCAGTCCTTGCTGCCGTCGCGGTCCACCTCCAGCTCGACCACCTCGCAAGGTCGATCGCGGCATCGGGCCGGCAGCCGGACCCGATCGGACTCTGCGCCGGACCAGGGCCGCATCGTGACCGGAGCCGGAATCGAATCGGACTGGCTGCGCCAGGGTGCGCGGCAGCGCCACGCCTCGGGTCGCCTCGAATCTCGGAAGGCTGGCCATCTGAGACAACGGCGTCTACCCCGCCCGATCCAAATGCGCTCAAGCGCTGGCTCGGGCCCCATCCCAGGGCCCATCGAGACCAGTTCGCCGAGGCGCGTCTGCTCGTGGCGACGCAACACCTCCATGGGGTCCACGCAACACGAGGAACCGACTGGGAGGGCCGTCATTGTCTCCAGAGGGCCGTCCTCCGACTCTGAATCGGCTCGGGTGGAGCGGGGCGGATCCGAGACATTGAGTCGGACCTGACAGGATCGTGGTGGCGTGCGCTGTGGGATCGCCGCGGGGGTTGCTGAGGCGGACAGGGGTGTCTCAAACGGATGCCAAGGTGGTTGATATATCTGGCCTAAACCTGGCTAAATCAGTGGGGGTTACAACTGCCCCGTGTGGCTGAGGGGGGTTAGCGATGCAGTCTAAGTGGGCTCCGCACACTTAGCGGAGTTGTCTAACCCCCTGAGTCTCCCTGAGTCACTGGGGGCATCTGTAACCTCAGCCACCGCTGCTTAGCCCCCAATGGTCGGGAACTTTTCTTAGCGTGTCGCCGCGACGGCCCCGGCGGCATGCTATGCCTTGCAAGCGGATAGCGTGTCGCTCCGCTTCGCGCTAGGATCGCAATGTCTCGGGATACTGACGACTGAGAACTGGGATGTGGATACCGTGTCGGGCCGCAGCGTGGTACACTATGTCCCGCAACAGTTCTGGCGGTGCTTGTAGTCCAGGGACGTTATTTGTAGCCCAAGAGAGGGGTACCTGTAGTCCAGGGGGGGGGGGACCTGCAGTCTGGGGTAGGGTACCTGTAGTCCGGGGGAGGAAAACCTGGAATACGGCGAGGGTACCTGTAATCTGGTGGGGCGCGTGTTCATGCATGAACGCACGCGTGGTTCCGGGTGCGCGGGAATCCGCGCGCGCAGATGTCTGCGCGCACGGGACTGCACGCGCATGGTTGCACCCCCGCACACATGCATACGCACATACACACGGACATACATACATACATACAGACATACATGCAAACATACATACATACATACATACACACATACATACATACATATATATATATACACACATACATACATACATACATACATACATACATACATACATACATACATACATACACACATTACACTACATTACATTACATTCCATTACATTACATTACATTGCATTACAATACATTACATTACACTACATTACATACATACATACATACATACATACATTACATACATTACATACATTACATACATTACTTCCATACATACATACATGCATACAAACATACATACATGTATGCATACATGCATGCATGTATGCACACATACATACATACATACATACATACATACATACATACATACATACATACATACATACATTAATACATACATACATACATACATACATACATGCATGCATGCATACATACATACATACATACATACATACATACATACACACATACATACATACATACATACATACATACACACATACGTACATACATACATACATACACCTACCTACCTACCTACCTACCTACGTACATGCATGCATGCATCCATACATACATACTTGCATCTATACATGCATACATTCATACATACGTACGTACATACGTACATGCATACATACAGACATACATACATGCATGCATACATGCATGCACGCACATACATACAGACATACAGACATGCATACACGCATCCATACATACATACATACATACGTACATACATACATACATACATGCATACACACATACATACATACATACATACATACATACATACATACATACGTACATACATACATACATACATACGTACGCACGTACGTACAGACATCCATACATACATACATGTATGCATGCATGAACCCATACATACACATATATATATATATACATACAGACATACATGCATACATACATACATACATAAATACATACATACATACATACATGCATGCATGCATGCATGCATACATACATACACCTACCTATATAAATATATGTATATATACATGCATGCATGCATGCATGCATATGGCATACACGCACAGACTCTCACAGACACACACTCACACACCGCTCTCTCTCTCTCTCTCTCACACACCACGCACGCACGCACGCACGCACGCACGGTAAGAACACTGAAAGCTATGTACGAGAATGGACTTCTCTCCAAGCGTTTTCTGAAACACCAGCCCAAGTCTACATGTACGATAATTCCAAGAAGAAATACACTCCTGTCACGATCCTTAGCCCAGACATGCGACGTCTTCGTCCCCGAAGTCCCGACCCTTTCCCCAGGGCCCGCTTCTCGTCCTGAATCATTGTTTGACGCTCCCGAGGCCCGGCGAGGGCCCCCCGAGGCCCAAAATGGCAAAAAAACCTGCCTTCCTGATTGTTTTTACGACGCGAGCATGTCTGGGGAAGCGAAACCGGGAGCCCACGCAAATGCAGCCTTTCGCTTCACGTGTCTGGCGAGTGCACCCGCCAGCGGCCTCGTCGCCCGGGTGCACGCCCGCGTGGGCCGCTCCGCCGGCGGCGCTGTCCACGGCCTGCACCACGAGGGGCCGGGTCGCCTCCGCGGGGCCGAGGCGGAGCTCCTCCAAGAGCTCTTCCAGGCTGTCGAAGCGCACCTCCGCCTCCGGGAGGGGGAAACCCACTGGGATGACCGTGGGGGGTTCTAAATGGATAAGGGGGGCTACAAGAGGATGCTAAGGAGGGTAATATCTGGCCCAACCTGGCTTATAAGTGAGTTACATATTCCCCGAGTGGCTTAGGGGGATTAGACAACTTCGCTGAGTGGGCGGAACCCTCTTAGCCCCGATCGTTAACCCCTCTAAGCTACTTGGGGCATTTGTAGCCCACTTGTAAGCCAGGGTGGGCCAGATATAACCCACCTTGGTATCCACTTGTAACCCCTTTTATCAACCTAGAAACCCCCACGGTCATCCCAGCAGACCCCCTCGGGCAATGAAAAATCATGACGGGAAGCATTTCCTAATGTTCGGCCTCTGGGGGCCCTTACTGGGCCTCGGGACCGGCAAAAAAGACTCAGGATGATAAACGGGTCCTGGGGAATGGATCGAGAACTCTTGGGGCCGACGTCATGAAACAATCATGACGTCGGGGGTCTGGGAAAGGGCGTCGGCACAAGCTTTTTGTTTCGTCGGCGGCGAGGCAGAGGCGGTCCGCTCCAGCGCGTGGCCGACGCGAGGCAACCGGAAGGCAAATCGACCGGCGTGCAGGATGGAGGACGAAGACGAGAGCGGCCGCGCAGGGGGAGGGGGAGGGGAAAGCGCTCAGACGTGGAAGAGTTTCGCGCCGACCAGGCTGGAGCGGCCGACCGAGGCAGCGGCAATCGTGGCAGCAGCCGGGGCCGAGGCGACGGCGCACCCACGGGCGCTGCCAGGACGCAGTGACGATGGCGAGCAAGTAGGAACCGCGTCGGAACAAACAGATACCCGGAGATCCAGCGCACTGAAACGAATCAAGGCGGAGGTCTCTCGCCGCTGCCGGCCTCCTTGGAACCCCCTCGGTGGGCCCCAGGACCGTCCAACAACGACTCAAGATGAAAACTGCCGTCCCCAGGAGTGGGCGAGTTTTCTGGGAACCCGGCATTGAACAAATGAAATCATCGGATCTCGGTACCCTGAGATCCTAGCGTGCCATTGGTTCCACGCCAGGCGTTTCCGCCCGCGCCTTGGGGCCCTGCAGCCCTCACGAATCGATCTGGCTCGAAACAATGCGCAATATGTTCGGGTCCGGGACTCTAGCCGTGTTTTTGTTTACGATCTTGCGTCTACGTCGGATCTGAGGTGCGCAGGAGGTTCGTAGGGATGCGAGGTACTGGAGCAAGCACTTTGGAAGTCCAGGTTTGACCCTTCTGAGTGGAGATGGCCAGCGATAATGTCGAAGGGTGGGCCCAAGATGCAAGGACGAAAGGGTGCCCTTGGAAAGCTGCGCATGTGAACTCTCGGAGGTCCACGTGGACTTCTTTCATGGGCAAGGGAGGATGAGGAGGTCCTACTCCTCCTCCTTCTCCTCCTCCTCCTGTCTCTCCTACCTATGGTAGCGGCGGTGGAAAAGGGGCCCATCATTCTTGAATCGGCGCTGCCCCCCCTCGCAGCGCGCGCCGGCGGCAGCGCTGGAGACGCCGCCATGGGGGGGGCCCCGCGCCGATCGGAGATGTCGGCGCGGACCTCCCGAGATCGGTGTTTGCGCCACATTTTCGTCCGTGCGAACAATGAAATTGTGACACCGACACCAACAGGGCGAGGAGATGCGAGGAGGCAAAGGGGGTCTCCCTGATGGTGTGTCCCCACCTCTCGCTCGAGACATCCCCGGTCTACAGCTCGGGGAGGCATCGTGGACCTCCTCGCTGGAGGTGGGCCTCCTGGTGGTGTTGGTATCGCCTCTCCTCCATCCGATGCAAGGGGGGGGGACGGGGGCCCCCTCTCGCAAGACATCCCGCTGTGCACACGGCCCGGCATCAGAGACCCGTGAGGCGCAGGCTGCCAACACTTTGGTTGACCCAAAAGGGGGTCCAGCGAAAAGGGGGTGGTGCAGTAGATCTGGTGCAATCGATTTCTAAGGTTGCAATAGATTTGGGGCGTGCAATACATTCTGGTGCGCACATTTGTTGCGAGATGCTCGCGTGCAACGCATTCGTTACAACACGATGCAATGCAACTCGCTGGCACAATACATTTGCAATACAATTGCCCCAAATCTATCGCACCCCCCTTGCAGCTGGACCCCATTTTGAGTCAACCAGAAAAACGCGTGGCCGCAGCGCCCCCTGGAGAACCGAGACAAGTAAACATTTGAGCAGTCGGCCTGGCAAAAGGGGAATCTTATCGACCTCCAAATTCCATCTGCGAGCCTCCCGGTAGCCGAGCACCAAGCTGGCGAGGAGCCGTATCATCCTGCGGTGGCAACTCATGGGAGCCTCCTTGTCGGCTCTTGCGAATCGACGCTAAGTTAAGCTAGTCGACGCTAATCGACGCTAACCGACGCTAATCGACGCTAACTCGACACTATCTCATCGACTCCCAGGCGCTAATCGACGCTAACGACAAAATTAAAAGGGCATATGATTTGCCACCGAATCATCCTGAGGTGCAGCTCCCCATCCAACACCCAGCCGCCGCCCACCGACCGGCAGTTGAACGCCACGGTCATCGCCGCGCGGCACTTCTCCGAGAGCGAGGCGCGCACCGCGTTGGCCTGCCGGGCTTCTTGTCTATAGCGCGGCCCCCTTGCGGCGCGTCGAGGGGGGCAGGTCTTCAGACTCTTTTGTGAGTGTCGTTTAACCGATCCCCATCCCCAGTGGCGTGGCCTGGGCCCCACTGGCCGATTTACCCCCCTAGATGGGGATATAGGCCGTCCCCTTCGGGTTTCGAGGGGTGCATCCCCAACTGGGGCGGTAATTTGGTGGGGGTCTCGAAGGGGATGGGGATGGGGATGGGGATTGGATAAACGATACTGCTTTTGGCCCTCGTCAGGGAGCCTGCAGAGGCCTCCGGGGACCCCTGGGGGAGCTTTGCCCCAGGACACGGGGGCGGGAGCAGAGGGCGCGTTTCTCGTTAGGTTTAGACAGGGCAGCCTGCGTTGGATTGTCGCCCCTTCCCCCTCCTCTCCCCCTCCGCCGCCTTGTGGAACAGTGCTGGGCCAAAACGGAGTGCAAGTTTAATTTGCTGTTCCGACCGATGGGATCTGGGTGGTAACGGACGCTTCATGGTGCTAGCCTTCGGTCGGGCATGTCCTCCTACAGCCTTCGGTCGGGCATGTCCTCCAACAGGTGGATTTCTGGAGAGAAACATGTAATCGTCACACGTCCAAAACAATCGAAAACAATCGAGCAATCGTCCCCAGACTACCTATGGAGGGACATGCCCGACTTCCTGCTAGCCGTGAGGCGTCACATCCTCGGCCAGCCTCCAGCAAGCCGCAGCGGCTCCCAGCAGCCCGAGGAGGGGCCGTCACGCGGGGCCCGAGCCATCCAGGCCCTGCCGGGATCCTTCGCCCCACGGGCGTGCGTCGGGCAGCCCGGTGCCGATAGGACAGGAGAGGCGCAGCCTCGCCTCGAAGGCCTGCGCGGCAGCGCACTCGAAAGGCTCAGGCAGACAGAGTTGTGGGGAAACAAAAACGTCACACACGCACGCGCACGGCAGCGAAACAGAGGGAGGAGGAGGACATGCAGCTGGGTCAGAACGGTGACCCAGAAGGCCAGTCGCGGGAGCAAGCGGAAAAACAGGGAGCCCGTCCAATTCACACAGGACTCGCGAGAGCTGCGGCAGACCTTGTGGTGACGAAGGTCGTCGTAATCCCTGGACGCGTCGAGCCCATATGCCCAATGGGAACAGCCAGAGATACGGACACGGGGAGCGAAGGGACAGCAAACACCGTCACGAACACCACGAGCACGAGTCCGAAGAGCGCCCAGGGCATGGCAAGGAGAGGATGCGGCTGCGCCCCGACGGCTCTGGAGGGTGAGGTTGGAGAGGCTTCAGTAGCCGTCTTCAGGCGGCCAATTTTTCAACCGATGGGAGAAGCCTTCGGAGGAAGACGGCCCAGGGATCGGGAAAACTCGTAGACGAGCGTATAGCTTCCTCTGGCATACTTCGGGCTCCAGCTCGGTCAGACGTACCAACCATTCGGGCCCGCGACCCTGGAATAACATACAACATTGGAACCGGCCACTCGCTCAAGCTCTGCCCAAGAATCGTCGGTGCCAAGACGCTTGTAAAATTGGCGGGCACGGCATGTGGTAGACAGATCAAGAGTGCCAAACGGCTGAACAGAAACACCGTGACTTTTTGAGTGGCAGCGAACACGTTGTAGTATTAAACGTGATCGGGGCCACGTGTGTAAATATGCAACATATGTTTACACACTTCCTTGGTCAAGCAAAAAACAAGGATTCAAGTAGCAGTGAACATGACAGCCCACACGTGCACATGATACGACAGGTGATTACGACGATGGAATGCAATGCGCATCCAGGAGCAAGCTGACGAAGCCGAGAACATCATGTCTCAAAACTTGGCAAGCGGTGCCTGCCATGGAACTCTAGCTGCTTCGGGGCCCACGTTCATCTCATGATAGATTTCAAAACGTGGCATATCCCAGCAAGCTCCATCATATCCTTTTCCTAAGTAATCATCGCTTGGAGGTCATCCTTCCCCATCCTCCAACAAAGAAGCAACATCGCGCACTTGTTGAAATTGGGCGCCAAACTTCTTGCACCGTTCAATGCAAGAAGCAAGCGCCACACTGCCGGCAGTGAGTGCAGCAATCGTAGGCGCAGGCATTGGAGCGTGAAGATATGTTGAATCCCTCGGAACACAGGGTCACCCGCAGAAAAATGGCAGCCCGGTCATGGCCCAGCAAGTCCTACTGGAGCTCGCTCTGTTGGGGCAACGTGGTAGGCATCTGTCTCCCTTTAGCACTTTTCTGCATCGGCGCAACCGTGGAGCGAGAGAGCATATTGATGGAGCGCCAATAAGAACCAGGCAAGATCTTGGCATCAGTGTTGGACAAAGGCCGTGGCCGAAAGCCGCATCTCCAACACGCCAGAAAAAAAAAACAAGGAGCGGCATCGGGCCCAGGCATAGAGTTACGACAATATTGACTTTGCTGGTAGCGGTCGGAACCGCCGCGTTCCACATCCATCAGGCCACCAAGGAACAGCCGAGACAACTGCCCCGCAATAGTCTACAAGTTCACCAGCAAATTCATCTAAGGTAACACACGGCTGCCAGTGCCGGTGTCGGTAATCCAAGAAGAACGGCGTCTGGACTTCCTCCACAACTCTTGCTTGGCAACAACTTGCCACATGCAGACCTCTTAGCACCATCCGCAACGTTCTGATTCCCTCTCCACCTGTTCCTCCATTTCAATCAAACTATTCCTCGACAACTCTTGCGCAAGCCCGCACAAGGCCAGACACATCGTGACACATCAAGGTGTCGATGTCGAAGAACTGCTGCAACTGCGGGAAGCACGCCAGCGCGTTACAGACCATGTGGTGCTGCCTGGCTCTGAAGCGTCGAAGGGCGACCATGCACCAGTGATGCTGCCCTGGCAGGGTCGTAGCAACGATGCTGGCAAGGCGACGGCGAACACCAGGGACGATGTCATGCTGATGTGCTCGACGTGTTTGAGGGCAGCGGCAGCATCCACGGCATCAAGTACATCTGCCCGAGCTTCCAGCTCACAAGCTGACACTTCGTGGTACCTCTCAGTATTGCTGAGTCGAGTCGGGGTGCTTGCTTCATCTCCAGACTGCGGCCCAGGCGTGTCAATCTGGGCAAAGCATATGGATATGTTCAGACGTTCGAGCGTTGCAGAGCGCACCTGTCACTCAGGAGCGGATCGTGAGGTCGACGACGACAGCAGCAGGGAGAGCAGAGTAGACCCCGTCAAGCCGGGATGTGTGTGCAGCGTTTCCATTGCGAGTCTCCCTTCTATGTGTCATCCGCCTGGAAGCCTCAATCCAGTCAATGCACTTCTGGTTAGAAAACCGTATGAAATCGAACGTCCCCATAAGACCATCCACTCCCGTCAGGATGCGTCGTCCCTTCCTCCTTCCGTAGCCATGTGGGCTCAACTTCCAGACGTGCGACCCTGGCGCTAGGAGCTGGGTGTTGCCGAAGGGGCGGCTCAAACGCCTTGGGACAGGTCCGCCTTGAGGCACCCGGCGCCCATTCGGGTGCAGTCCCTACCAATTGGGCACGCACGCCCCGTTCTCAGCTGCAGCGCAAGAGGGGAAGAGGCATGCACCTGGTTCTTTGCCTTCGTGAGTGGTCCGCTCGCCGCCCTGGACACCACGCTCACTGGCCAAGTCTCTGCACTTGATGGACGCATGGCGGCCCTTGAGGTCAAGTTCCAGGGGGTGGAAGCCAAGCAGCAAGTGACTGGGAAGAACACCCAAGAGGTCAAGCCCACCACTGCTTCAACAGGAACGGGCACTGGCCACAAGCGTCTAAGTACAATGGGGGCCCGTGCTTCTGAAGCTGAACTTCAAGATCCATGTCGTCTGTGGATCACTGGATGCCCTCTTGCTGTACTGTAGATCAGCCAGAGCGTATACATCTGCTTCGTGTCTGATGAGTTAGCCAAAGAGTTCAAATCCTGGTTCGTGGCCGAGGAGATCAAGTGGACTGGCGCCAACGACAACTCACATCACTTTCTTATGCATTCGGGCTGACCTACCTGATGACGCTGGCCAACGCCAGCGCCACATGTGAAAGATGTGTGCGCCTGTTGTCCAGCACCTGAGGGGGACCAACAACTACGACGAGCGCTACAAGACCGGCGCCAACAACTTTCGCAATGAGTTCTTTAGAAGCACGGCGACCGACCTCTTGATCCTGACCGAGGGCGAGATGGACCAACTCGGACGCCTCTAGGTGAAGCCAAACGATCATCATCTGCGCTTCTGGGGCATCACAAAGGAGATGATGCGGCAATGGCTCGACGCATGCCGAGCGAAATGTCACGCGATGAATCACGTCAACGTTGAGCTGCTCGGGGTCCGCAGCCGACCACGCGTGCGGGTAAAACATGAGCACCCCGAATGTCTCTTCATCACCTGCGGCACGAACTTGTGCGGCCCCCGGCGTACGGGCCAACTCATCGTGTACCGATTCGACTTCAGCATGTTCCGGCCCCGCGTCTCCTCCTCGAGCGCCCCCCGCCTCGTCTGTCCTCCGCTCCCCCTCCTCTTCCTCCTCCTCCTCCTCCATCTCCTCCTCCAACTCCTCCTCCTCCTCTTCCTCCTCCTCCTCCTCCTCCTCCTCCTCTGCTGCTTTTGACCCTGAGCTGGCTGTCGAGCCGGCTGCCCTGCTGCCAGAGTACTACTGCCCTCTGGCAGCACGCCTCCTGTCTGGCCTGCTGCTCGTCGTGCAGTGCCCCAGCAGCCGTTTTTTTGTTCCAACCTCCTCGCTTGCTTGTGTTTCCAGGGAAGGCTCGTGGGCTGTTCGGTGCTGCTCGAACACGTCGTCACGCCGATGCCAGTGCCGCCACTCGATATCGCACGTTCTGGGGATTGCGTAAAAACAACATTAGCAGGTCGTTTGCGCTCGGGAAACCCATGGGAACTGCGGATCTCCCATTGCTACAGAATGCGTGTCGAGGCTCCAACGTCGGGGGCACCATGTTTGAAGATGCAGTGCGCGCAGGTGGCCTCGTCACAATTATCTCTGCCAACCCTGCCCGCCAGTTCCGTACAGCGCCTCACCATGTGGCTCAAGAAGGGGGAATGCTCCTAGGTGCATTGATCGGGTATTACGGGAACCTTGCCATGGTGAGTGTCTACATGCCGAACACGTGTGAGCGCCTCCAGGTTCGGGCCGAGCAGGCGTCCAAACGAGCTTCGCCCTGCATTGAACTCCAGAGTTCCTCCAGGGCCTCGCCAGACCCCCCCACCCCCCTCCCCCTCCGTGAAGATAAACCTGCAAAGGCCTAACAAACACGGCCTCCTTCCATCTGACATCTTGCCGTGCTGGCCTGCGTTCGGCGCTGGATCTCCTCCGCCGCCCAGGTGTACAGCGGCGGGTCATCGTGGCAGCCGGTGTCGGCCCGCTCGACGGTCATCACGGCGGGGTCCGTGCTCCACGCGGCCACCAGCGCGCGCGGCGGCTCCACGCCCGCCTTGCCGCACTGCAGCGGGGCGCCCAGCCCGACGGGCTCGCCGAGGGCCGCCTCCTCGTTGGACGCAGAAAGACACACTACAGCTGGCCCGTATCACAAGGATGAAGGAAAAGGATGCAAGGGCCTTGGACGCCCACTTCGAAGCTTCTCGAGCGGGGCGCGGCCAACAAAAGTGATCAAGGATGGACCGAGGAGGCACGTATGCAAAGGTGCCCTTAGGAAAATTGCCCATCCGTACTATGCGGGCTGCCTGTAGTACCATGCAGCCTCCACGGAGGAGTGCGTCCGACCCAGGACAGACAGCACAGCTATCGTTTCCCTTGCGCTGGGGCCAGAAAAAGAGCCCGCCTCGGAGCACATCTGCTTCATGATTTCTGTGCGCGCGCGCGTCGCCCCTCTGGGGGCGACGCACGCCCATCGTATTAGTATGTTTGGGTGACGCCGATCCTGGGCGACCCGCAGGATCACCCTGTCGCCGAAGTTGATGGCCACGCTCGGCCCCCAGGCCTGCGGGGGAACGGCAGGGAAAAGCTTGGCTCGAGTTGTGCATGCCAAGGCAATGGACGCTCTAACAGCCCTTCTCAGTGGATCCAACATGTGCTTTTCTATGTGTTGCTCCGAGCATACTTCTGCTCCGAGCATACTTCTTGCATGTTTAAAACATGTGTTTTGTTTATAGATGTATACACGTAACACAAAAAAACACGTGTTAGATATCTGGACTTTCGTTGACAAGAGGCCTCCTATCCAATGGTCGCCTCCCGCAAGGCTCAGAGGAGGGGTACCATCGACTCGGAAAACCGGAGATGCATCACCAACAGATCTCGGGTCGGGCGAAAGGGGGGGATAGCAAAGGGGGGGGTGAGAATCAGCTCACGTAGCTGATCCTCCCGGCGCCTCCCGGCGCCTGGAGGCTGGCCATGTACCGAGGCATGGGCCCCTCGGTGAGGCAGAAACCAGCTGCATGCAGCAGATTTCGTAACCTCCCCTTTCCCCATCCCCCCCTTTCGTCCGGCCCGAAGATCGGCGCCAGGGCCCCCGCGCTCCTCCTCCTCTCATCCTTCGTCCTCCTCCTCCTGCTCCTCCTCCTCCTCCTCTTCTCTGCTCCTCCTCCTCCTCCTCCTCCTCCTCCTCTCCTCCTGCTCCTCCTCCTCCTCCTCCTCCTCCTCCTCCTCCTCCTCTTGCTCCTCCTCCTCGCCTTCGCGTGCGCGAGGCGGCTCGCTCCCGAAGATTGGTCGCGAAGCCGCGCGCTCCCGGGCGGGGCGGGCCCTCGGGCCCGCCAGCGGCGATCCGCGGGCCAAATCCGGGGGTCGAGGCAGGCCCTCCCGCTGAGCCGACATCCCCCTGCGGACACGCTGCCCCTGGAGGCCCTCTCGCGCGTGGTCCCACGCTGGTCGCTGCCCCCCTCTAAGCTGCCCCCCCAGAGCCGATCCCCCCCGCCCCACCCCCCCCCCCCCCCCCCCCCCCCTGAGCCTGCACCCCCCCCCCTGTCGATGCAAGCCCCCGCACTGGCCATCGCTCGGACGTCCATTCCCTATGTTTTTTCGGCTTCGTGCGTGGATATTTTTCGCCAAGTGATCAAGGATGCTCCTCGATGGCCCTCGCCGAGAAAAAATGCACACGTCCGAGCGATGCCAGGCGCATGAGCCCATCCCCCCTGAACGTCCGGACTTGGGCTCACGACTCGATGCTCCCGCAGCCGCTCGGGACGGCGATTCTGGGCAGCCCCAGGCCGCCCCTCGGCGAGGCGCAGCCGCCGGGGAGAACAGCCCGAGGCTGGAGAACACCGCCGAGGCTCGACGCAAAACGCCCGGAAACCTCGAAGGTCGAAATGGTTAGATGCTCATTCTGGGGACCTTCCTGGAGCCACTCGCTCCACTCGTGCGTCGAAGCTGCGTCGACCCTGAGTAGAACCTGAGTCGAAGCTGAGTCGAACCTGAGTCGAATCTGAGTCGAATCTGTGTCGAACCTGAGTCGAACTTGAGTCGAACCTGAGTCGAACAGATCCATTAGGTGGGCCCCAGGAAGGTCCCCAAAACGAGCATCGAAAAATGGGGTCCCGAAGTCTCGACCCGCTCTCGGGGACCAGCTTTTCATCCAGAGCAGTTTTGGTGACGGTCCTGGAGCATGGCGCGGGTCCCTATAGGCGGAGGACGGCGAGAAAGCCATCCGGCTTGTCTTGTTCCATGCGTTGGATCTCCGGTGGCTCCCCTCCCTTCGTTGCCTTATGCTGTTCCAACCTACTTAAGCCTCGATCGCCAGGAATGATTCCGAGCAGCAAGAAAGCACCGAAACCGGAGGTTCTTCACGTGTCGGGCCCTGGGAGGCGATACTCGTTCGACACCGTTTCGATACTCTTCGGGGTGTTCCATATCATTTCTGGGACGTGGCCCTTACGTACGATGGGAGCACCACAACCGTTTCCCCTGAAGGCCTTCTCGTACGTGACCCTGATCTTGTCGCTGCCCCCGGCGTCGGCGGCCATGGTCCCAGCCATGGTCCCCCGCCGCGCATACGAGCCGCGCCTGGCCAACGCGTGCACGGCCCCCAGGCCCTTCGACGCCAGGCGCTCGAGGCCCCGCTTCTTCGTGTCCGAGAAGCTCGAGCCGTGGCGGTCGAGCCCGCCCTCCTCGGCCTCCTGCGGGGCCAGCGCGCACATCCGTGTGGCCGGTTCGCGTGGAGGTGCCGCGGGCGTGCGTCTCTGATGCCGCGCGGGACGCTCCACCTTAACGCGCGGCCGTCCGATAGCGCAGGTCGCTTAGGACATCCGCCGACACGCTGGCGGCGTTCAACTTTGCACGCCCGCGCTGGGGTCGTCGCTGCCGCGTCGACGCGGCGCGTACCTGCCGCAGCCTGACGTGCTCGCGCCGAGGAACAAGCATCAGAACGGGAGGTTGCTGGAAATGTTTGGCACCTGGAGGCCTTCGCCGGGCCCTAGGGCCATCGACGCTTTTTGATAGTAATATCTACCCGATCGACCTGAGATTTCGATGGCGAGCGGGAGTAAGATCGAACATGGGGGAAAAATATGAGAGCTCGAACGAACTGTTGAATTTCGAGGAAATGATCTTAACTATGCCGAAAAAAGACAAACCATCCGTCGAGATTTTTCAGGCCAACTAGCCCGCCAGCGCGCCAGAACATAACGGGTCCCGAGGAAAGGGCGGGGACTTCCGGGGCCGCGGGTGGACAAACGTCAGGACGGCGCACGTCTGGGCACAGCGCCCTCGCGGTCTGTGGACTCTGGGGCGCGAGCCCGCGATCTCGCGGTCGCACGGGTACGTTCCACGCGGGGCACCCGCGGCGGAACGCCTCCTCTCCGCGGGGTCGCGGCCCAGGGGCCCGGCCAGCAAGGCCGCGGGTACGGATCTAGTGGAGGCCAGCCCACAAAGAAACCTGACACGAGAAACCGAGCCCTGAGACCCCAGGACGCCCATTGATTGCCGGTGTGGGAGCGCCACGCTCTGCGTCGCAAAACCATGGAAACCCACGAAACCCAGGGCACCCTGGAGGCAAGCAGAGGGTGTCTCTTGGCAGGGATCTCCCCTGCACGTGTCTCGCCCACGGCTCCTCCGCCCTGGACGCCTCCAGCAGCTCCGCCAGCATCTCCTTCGTGGCGGCCTCACCTCGGCGTGGTTGCGCACACCGATTGTTTCCCAACCCTCCTGTGGTGTTGGGTACTCGTTTTGGATAAAGCAGTGTGGTCTCCACCTCCTCCTCCTCCTCCTCCTCCTCCTCCTCCTCCTCCTCCTCCTCTCCTCCTCTCCTCCTCTCCTCCTCTCCTCCTTCTCTCCTGTCTCCTGTGTTCCCTTCTCCTCTTCTCTCGTGCCGTCGGGCTGCGATCTGCGCAACTGTCGCCACTTTCGTGGGCTCCTGGGAGGCCCAGCGGAGGTGCGCCATACGCGGACCACCTCGGGACCTCGTCGCCCCCTGGGGGCTTGCGATCTGTACAACTGTTGCCACTTTCGTGGGCTCCTGGGGGCCCAGCGGAGGTACGTCATACGCGGACCACCTCGGGACCTCGCCGCCCCCTGGGGGGCTTGCGAGCTGCGCAACTGTCGCCACAAAGTGTGATGTCGGACGAGCTGCGTTAAGCCGTCTTCTGTTCAACATGGGGTTCTCGTTCTAGACGTCAAAACGGGGCTCTCGCTCTTCTTGTTGCTGCGCTCTTCTGGAATCACTGCTGGGTGCTCTTCTTGCGCACGGCGGGTCCTTCAGAATGCAAGTCAACATTGAGTGGTCCCGGGTATAACCGCCACATGTATAGAAAGGGCGGGGCACGTCACATGTTTTTGTTATTGTTTTGTTTGTGTTGTTTTGCTTGTCAGTGTTTTGTTTGTTTGTTTTGCGTCCTTGGCTTCGTTCAGGGACCTTCATTTTGTATTGCGACCTTGGGCTTTTTTTTCGGCGCCCTTGGGCTTCTCGCGGCGCGCATTGTGTTTTCGGCGCCTTTTTTTCTGGCGCCCCTCTCAGGGTACGTCACAGGGATTTTTCGGGCACGTCACAAGGATGTTCTTGTTGTGGGGGAGCGATCGCCGGCGAGTGGGGCCCGCCGAAAAGCGCTCGAGCAGACGGCGGGGCGCCTCCGTGGCGAAGGAGGGCGCCAAGGGGGCTCCAGCGGGCAAGGGGCGAGGCAGAAGGACGGCCGCAGGATGATGGGGAGGAGGAGGAGGAGGAGGAGGAGGAGGAGGAGGAGGAGGAGGAGGAGGAGGAGGAGGAGGAGGAGGAGGAGGAGGAGGAGGAGGAGGAGGAGGAGGGGGAGGAGGAGGAGGAGGAGGAGGAGCAGGAGGAGGAGGAGGAGGAGCAGGAGGAGCAGGAGGAGGGGGAGCAGCCTCGGGTCGTGTGTGGGGCGTCAGGAGGCTGGTGCGACCGCCGGGCCTGGCGCAGAGAATGGGCGGCCTCCCGGGAAGGCGGGGGAGAGGCCTCCGAGACGGGGCAGCGGAGGGGCTTCCCATGGTGCCCTCCCGGGCCCCCCTGAGCGGGCACCTTGTAGAAGACCCCTGCAGATACCCTCCTGAGCCCCGCCTTCCAACAACCCCCCCCCCTCCCCCCCCTCGCCTTTTTCCAAAACGCCCGATGTCTCAATGTGCTCCAACTTTTCCTATAGAGGACCCCTCTCAATCCCGACCCTCTCCCCAGGGCCAATGCTTCATCCCGATGCCGCTCTCCCACGGACCCGGGGCCCGGCGAGGAATCTCCTGGAGGCGGACAGTGGCCCCAGACCGGCCGTCGCAGAATTTGGAACGGCGCGAACATGTCCGGGCTGGAAGGCCGCCCCTTCGCGCCAGCACCCATGTGCGCGCCGCCGGACGACGATGGGGAGCAGGAAGGGGAGAAGGAGAAGGAGCAGGAGGAGCAGGAAGAGGAGCAGGAAGAGGAGGAGGAGGAGGAAGAGGAGGAGGAGGAGGAGGAGGGTGAGGAGGAGGAGGAGGAGAGAGGAGGAGGAGGAGGAGGAGGAGCGGGAGGAGCGGGAGGAGCATGAGGAGCAGCAGCTGGGAGCAGCAGGTAGCAGGAGGAAGGCAAGGACAAGGGTGTGCAGGAGGAGGATGAAGAAGGATGATGGGGAGGAGGAGGAGAAGGAGGAGGAGGAGGAGGAGGAGGAGGAGGAGGAGGAGGAGGAGGAGCAGGAGGAGCAGGAGGAGGAGGAGGAGCAGGAGGAGGAGGAGGAGCAGGAGGAGGAGGAGGAGGACGAGGAGGAGGAGGAGCAGGAGGAGGACGAGGAGGAGGAGGAGGACGATGGAGAGGACGACGAGTGCCCCTTCTGGGCAAGCAACCCGATCACCGTTGATCAGCGCGATCCGCCAGCCGGACGCCACCCAATCCGGGCTCGGCTCCGGCCGCTCGCTGGACTGCGTGGGCGTCAAGCTCGCGAGCTCCAGGCTCCCGGGCGTCGGCCTGACGTGGAGCGCGAAGCGCTTGGCCGTGCGGTACTCCTCCTCCGGAACATGGAGGGGATATGGGAAGAACTACTGCGGGATAACGATTAATAAAAACATTGGAGAGAACGATCAACAAACATAGTGTTCTGATATTTCTGCACAAGTGTCTGATTGGAGGAGGACGATCACAAAATAGTTTTCCAGCCCGCGGCCGGTTTTTTGTAATCGTCATCCCGGGCGCCGCCGCGTGAACACGACCCCCGGTCATTTATTAATCGTCATCCTCCATTCTTGAAGGGGCCCAGGGACACACGAATGAATGCACAAATCCCCTGATTCCCCATGTGCTTTCCATATGGTTTGGATCTTCGCGTTCCCCCCCCACTTCCCGTGTGTTCGCATACTCCCTCGGAGTCGACGATCCATTGCGTCTGTGTGTTTTTTCCTTCCAGAACTATAATCAGAGTGAGGGGGCCGATCAGTCATTCTGTCCCTGGGTGCGTGGCTGATGTGGGATTCCGTGGCCTGGGTCTGTTTGTTTGTTCGTTCGTTCGATCGTTTGTAATTGTTGATAGATCCACACGTCTGAAAAGTGATTATTGCTGATGCCGCCCTCCAATAACCTTTGTATTGTTCAATTAACGTGCCCGCCTCGGGGCTCGCACCCTTTTTTTCGGGGAAAGCGTGGTGTCACCAAGCTGCGTTGTTGGGCCCCCGGCTACAACAACCAACGGCTCACGCCTGATACTTCCTCAGAACTATTTCAAACTCGTGCTCTCGCGCGGTACCGCCCAGAAATTTATCCAGGAATCGCGCTCTGGCGATGTACACTGATTGGTATGCCGCGCTGCGAAAACTCAGAACCAAACTCTGGCTCTCGAATTTCTCGCGATTTACTCGGGAACCGCGCTATTGCTGCCTTCCTCGCGACTCTCATGAACCGCGACCAGGCCGTATCTGAGCCCCCTGGCCCGACCCGCCCGTTACCAGCGCGTCTGGTTATGCCGCTTGTGTTTCCTGCTCATAGTTACCCCCCCTCGCGCTAATCCCAGGAAAGGCACTTTGTGCGAGGCGGGGATCTATCCATATCCACAGCCTGGGAACCGACGTCCTGGTGCCCCAGCGGGCGGTGGATATTGATATATTTCGGCCCCCGGGTGCCCGAATATGTCCATATCCACCGCCTGCCGAGGCTCCGAAAACTGACCCTCCAGGCGGTGGTCATGTATAAATTCCCGCCTCGGACTTTGGAGGTACCTGCGGGCAGCCCGGGGAAGGCACCTTAGAGGTGCACGCGGGCAGCCCAGGAGAGGCACTTTGGAGGTACCTGCGGGCAGCCCAGGACAGGGCCCTTTGGAGGTACCTCGTGCTCCATCCTTCTCTCTTTCCCCCTTGTCTCTTCTTTCCTCCCTCGCTTCCCCTGTTTCAGGGGCTGCGCCAACTACATGTAGTGGCCAGTAAGGGAGGTGTATACCCTAAGGAGGGTACGATCTGACACTAAGAGAGGGCGGGTGACGAGGATTTGGGATATACGTGGTGAGTGTCACGCGAGCTGCAAAGCGAGCGAACAGACTCAACATGGTTGTTGTTGTTGTTGTTGTTGTTGTTGATTAGATTGCCGAGTTCTCATTTTTGACCGGATAATGTGTGTTGTTCCCCCCCTCCAGTGCACCTCGTGTTTTCCAGCATCCTAAGCGGGGCTGTTGTTCCCATCCTCTGGTGTTGGGATCTCGCTTCGCAGAGACAGCGCCCCGCGTCCTCACTCCTCCCGCTGCCCCCTTCCTCACTCCTCCCATTTGAGCGTGAGCCCCCTCCCTATGGGACCCGCAGCTCACGTTGGTAATCCGAGGCGGCCGGCCATCTGCGAACCGTAAAAGCAAAGGCTCGGTGACACCTGCGATCTTGCACCCAGAGGGGAGCCTCGAGCGGGAGTCCCCTCCCTATGAGGCCCGCAGCTCCTGCTGAGAAGCCGAGGCGGCCATCGACAAACCCTGGCAAAAACATGGGCTCGGTGGCACCCGGAAGCCTGAATCCGCAGGAAGTCTCGAGCCCGGCCGTCTGGGCCCGCCCGCCCGCCCCATCCGTAGGGCTCTGCCGCCTGCTTTCCTGCTCTGAACCCTCCCCTCCTGCTGATCTCTGTCGTGCTCCATCCTTCTCCTTCACCCTTTTCCCTTCCCTCCTGCCTGCCCTCCCCTGTTTTAAGGTCTGCGCCATCTACACGTGGCAGGTAAGGACGACGTACCCCCGACGGGGGCACGATCGAAGACGAACAGGGCGGGGCATAGATGTTGAATGTCACGCGAGCAGGCAAGCGCAAGCAATCTGATCATGATTATTGTTGAATCGTCCTTTCTCAAGAATAATTGTGGTTGTCCCCCCCTCTGGTTTACCAGGTGATTTGTCAGTTACAATGCTTCTCGGGGGGCTCGCAACCTGTTTCTTACAAAGGAAGGCTTTGAGCCTCAGACTGTGCCCCTGGCCCCCGAACTACCTCAACAACGGCTCCCGCCTGATATTACCCCATCTTTTATTCAAAGTCGCGCGCTCGCGCGGGAACTCCTCACTCCTCACAATTTATCTGGCAATCGCGCTCTTGCGTGACAATTCTTCGCAATTCCTTGAAACGCCGAGCCCCCAACAATCATGAATCATGAATCACGCTCCCACTCTGGACTTCCTTACGATTTACTTGGCAACCGCGCTATCGCTCGGCACACTGACGCTTCAACGACCCGCCCGCTCGACCCGGCCGTCTGGGCCCGCCCGCCCGACCCGCCCGCCCGTCTGGTTATGCCGCTTGTCTTCTAGCTCCTAACCCCCCTCCTGCTACTCTCTGTCATGCTCCATCCTTCTCCCTCCCCCTCTGTCCCTTCCCTTCACCCTTCCCTGCCTGAGGGGCTGCGCCAAGTACACGCGGCAGGTAAGGAAGAGATACCCCCGAGGGGGGCACCATCGAAGACGAAGAGGGCGGGTATCGTGGGTTCGGGGTATATATGCTGAGTGAAGTAATAACGAACAATGTTATAATAATTAGTGTCGTCTTCGCCCGCGAATCCTCCGCCACCCACCCGCGACCCACGCTGCGACCCACCTGCGATCCACTCGCGACCCACCCCGAGCCCGCCCCCTCACTCTTATCCGGAACTGCGGGGTGCTGCATAACGACAATGTTAGCCAGCGTGGACCCACAACAGTACGACATTGCACTGAGGAGATGTACACTATGTGGTGCGAGCTAGGTGGTGCAAGCTATGTGTGTCAGCGATGTGGTGCATTATACGAGGCGGCCACGGGCGGCAACGTGGCGAAACCTCGCTGGTCCCATCCAGCGCACGAGGCGGCCATGAGGGGGCCAAGGGCAGCAACGTGGCAAAACCTCGCCGAACCCGTCCAATTCCTCAATTCGGCGATCTACTGACCCGAGTGAATGCAAGCCGGGGTCAGTCAGGCCTTGCAAGATCCCGCAAGATCCTCCAGGATCCTGCAGGATCCTGCGCGCAAGCCTGGGTGAATGCACCCCTGGCTCTGCAGGATCCTGCAGGATCTGGCGCTCTGGCTAACCCCAGTTTGCATTGACCCCCGTCTAAAGGATCCTGATCAGTAAGACAAGGAAGACCCAATGAGAGTGATTACAACGAGAAAAAACAAAGACACAGTAGAAGACGAACACACCCTTGCGGCAGAAGACCAGGCACAACCCTACATCATTACACGGATGGGGGGCCACGATTGGGGGAGCCCTCCTCTACGAGGGGTGAGGCAGAAGGGGACTGGCCCAAGAGAGGAACATCGACTCGGAACCGGGAGTGAACGCATCGCCGGTAGATCTGAAAGGGGCCTGGGACACACAAATAAGTACACACACGTAACAGGATCCCCAGCATTCTCCCATGTTTTCTGGATTCTTGCCTTCCCCCTCCCCTCCCATATTTTCCCATATTTTCTGGGGAGCCGACGATTCATTGTGTCTGTGTGCTTTTTCCCCTCCTGAAGATCGGCGATGTGCCGCACATGGCGAACAACCGCACGTCCGTGGGCGGGGGGGGGGGGGCACCCGGGCCCCTCATCGGCGCCTCCTGGGCGGTCGGAGGTCGCTGTGCTCCCCCCCCCATGCGCTTATCCACTCGTATACAGGGACCCTGGAACACACAAACAAGTGGCACGTGTGCCATGGCTCTTGCACAAAAAGGAAGGGGGAGGAGGAGGATGTGGAGGAGGAGGGGGGGGGGAGAGGATGCCAGACATCGCAGAAGGAGTGAACAAAACAGGGCCGCAAGAGGGGCTCCAGAGGGCGAGCGCGAGGAGACTCCAAGGGCCGTCCCCCGCAAGATGGCTTCAAAGACCTTTGACGGGTTCCCAGGAAGCCTCCAACTGACGCCCGAGAAGCCTACAGAGGGTTCCAAGGGGAGGCCTCCAGGGTCCAAGGAGGGCTGGAAGAAATTACTGAGCGGACTCAGCTGCTGGGGGCTCGCGGTGCAAAGTGCGCGGCGGCCTTGTGTTGCGAACGCTTGTCCAAGGCAGTCGCTTTGCACGCAGAGTCTGTCGGGTGTATTCTCGGGGGCCGGCTATGCGCCACTTGAATGGGGGCCTCCCCCACAGACCAGACTTTCGGCCCGGGGCGGCGGCGGCGACGACGACGGCGACGACGGCGGCGGCGTCGGTGGCGACGGCGGCGACGGCATCGGCGGCGTCGCGGGAAGAGAGAGGGGATGGGTAGGGATGGCGAAAGGGGCAGGGCTGAACGGGGGTGGTGAGAGGGCCGGCGACGGCGGCGACGGCGTCGGCGGCGGCGCGGGAGGTAAGAGGGCACGGGCAGGGAGGGCGAAAGGGGGAGGGCTGAGCGGGAGCGGTGAGAGGGACAAGAGGAGTGAGGGAGAGGAGGGGGGCGCAGGGGTGATAGGGTAATCTGGGCGGGCGCTGGAGCCGCGCGGGGGCGCTGAGACGGCGCGGGGGAGGTGGCGCTGAGACGGCGCGGGGGAAGGGGCGGAGCGGGGGAGGGGGTGCGGTGCCGAGATAGAAGTGGTCGGGGCGGAGGGGGCGCTGGGCGGGCGCTGGAGCCGCGGGGGGGCGATGAGACGGCGCGGGGGAGGGGGCGGAGCGGGGAGGGGGGGTGCGGTGCCGAAATAAAATGGTCGGGGCGGAGGGGGCACTGGGCGGGCGCTGGAGCCGCGGGGGGGCGCTGAGACGGCGCGGGGGAGGGGGCGGAGCGGGGGGGGATGCGGTGCCGAAATAAAGTGGTCGAGGCGGAGGGGGCACTGGGCGGGCGCTGGAGCCGCGGGGGGGCGCTGAGACGGCGCGGGGGAGGGGGCGGAGCGGGGGGGGGTGCGGTGCCGAAATAAAGTGGTCGAGGCGGAGGGGGCACTGGGCGGGCGCTGGAGCCGCGGGGGGGCGCTGGGACGGCGCGGGGGAGGAGGCGGAGCGGGGGGGGGTGCGGTGCCGAAATAAAGTGGTCGGGGCGGAGGGGGCACTGGGCGGGCGCTGGAGCCGCGGGAGGGCGCTGAGACGGAGGGGGCAAGGGGGCGAGCGGGGGGGGTGCGGTGCCGAAATAAATTGGCCAGGGCGGAGGGGGCGCTGTCGGGCGCGGAGGCCGCGGAGCGCTGAACGGCGCGGGGGAGGGGCGGAGCGGGGGGGGGTGCGTGCCGAAATAAAGTGGTCGGGCGGAGGGGGCACCGGCGGGGGCCGCTGGAGCGCGCGGGGGCGCTGAGAACGGCGCGGGGAGGGGGCGAGCGGGGGGGGGGGTGCGGTGCCGAAATAAAGTGGTCGTGGCGGAGGGGGCACTGGGCGGGCGCTGGAGCCGCGCGGGGGCGCTGAGACGGCGCGGGGGAGGGGGCGGAGCGGCGAGGGGGGGTGCGGTGCCGAAATAAAGTGGTCGTGGCGGAGGGGGCACTGGGCGGGCGCTGGAGCCGCGCAGCGGGGAGGGGGGGTGCGGTGCCGAAGTAAAGTGGTCGGGGCGGAGGAGGCACTGGGCGGGCGCTGGAGCCGCGGGGGGGCGCTGAGACGGCGCGGGGGAGGGGGCGGAGCGGGGGGGGGTGCGGTGCCGAAATAAAGTGGTCGAAGCGGAGGGGGCACTGGGCGGGCGCTGGAGCCGCGGGGGGGCGCTGAGACGGCGCGGGGGAGGGGGCGGAGCGGGGGGGGTGCGGTGCCGAAATAAAGTGGTCGGGGCGGAGGGGGCACTGGGCGGGCGCTGGAGCCGCGGGAGGGCGCTGAGACGGAGGGGGCGCATGATGATGATGATGATGATGATGATGATGATGATGATGATGATGGTGATGGTGATGATGGTGATGATGGTGAGGATGATGGTGATGATGATGATGATGATGATGATGATGATGATGATGATGATGATGGGTGATGATGATGATGATGATGATGATGATGATGGTGATGATGATGATGATGATGCTGATGATGATGATGAAGGGGGGGGAGGGTGCGGTGCCGAAATAAAGTGGTCGGAGCTCTAGACACCCTGTGCAAGAGAATAAATACCCACAAATAACAGGATTCCCCATATCTTCTTCTATTTTCTAGGTTTGCGTCTCCCCCCCCACTCCCTATGTTTTCCCATATCTTCTTGGGAGTCGACGATTACTTGTGTCTGTGTGTTTTCCCCCTCCTGATCGTACACCGCTGCCCCTGCCTCTGGAAGCACAGAGATCCGCGCGGCTGTTCGGTCGGCAATGGAAGGGCCGAAGCATCAGCGAGCCGCGTCGGACCCCGGCTTCTCCTCCCCTCCCCCTCCTCCTCCTCCTCCTCCTCCTCCTCCTCCTCCTCCTCCTCCTCCTCCTCCTCCTCCTCCTCCTCCTCCTACTCGGCCTGGGCACCGGGTGCGCCGATGCGCGCCAGGGGCGGCGCCAGAGGCGCCGCCGGGGGAGGCCCAGCGCCGAGCGCCCAAGAAAGCTGCGCGGACCTCCGAGAGCGCTCGGCGCGCGGAGCACGCCGAGGGCGGCGCCCGAGGCGCCACCAGGGGAGGGCAGTTGCGCCGACACGAGACATCCGCACGGGCCTCTGCGGAAACAAATCAAGTGCAAGGACGCCGACATTTCTCGCCCGGTCCTCGTGCACGAGCGCAAGCGTGAAGGCAGTGGCGACCTCCTCGTCCTCCCGGGAGGGCGTCCAGGAGATGGGCGTCCGAATGCCGGGTGAGCAACGCATGGCCAGAGGCACGAGCGCGGACGAGGGGGGCACCACGCGCAGGGGGCATGCCGAGAAACGCAGAAGTGGGCACGACATCTGGGGAGATGCCATCCTGGCCCTGGCCATGATTCTCCCCCCCCCCCCCTGTCATCGCGCCCCTCCCCGGACCCTCCGCGATCTGCTTCACGACGTGGCTCCCCCCCAGAAGTCTGTTTTTCGACGTGGCAGTCTGGGCCTCTTCCCCGGGACCAGCTTCTCCATACCAGTGTCGAACCGTTTCCTGCCAGCCCTTGGGCCTGGGCCCCTTCCCCGGGACCAGCGTCTCCATACCAGTGTCGAACCGTTTCCTGCCAGCCCCAGGGCCTCAGCGCGGGCCCCCGGACCCTGTCCCGACCCCTTCGCCCTGCCTTCTCACGTCGAGAAGCTGTCAGTCTTGGCTTCGGTCGGGCGTGTCCTCCCACCGGGGGATTTTGGCCGAAAACTAAAAAATAGTCAAACGAAAACTCCGAAATGGCCAGAAAGAATCTAAAATTCGTCTCCAGACTACTATTTTCTGTATTGCTTATGGGCACTCCTCCTGCAGAGGGCCACGCCCGCCTCAAATCTTCGCCGCCCCCGAGCCTCCACCAGGGCCGTCTCCCTGTCCGGGTCCTCGTCGGCCCCCGCCGCGGGGGCCTCCTCGTCGGCCTCCCCTCCGGGCCCGCCGCCGCCGCTCCTCCCGGCCACCCGCACGAGGCGGCCGCGCTCCAGGGCGCGCAGGCGCACGGGGGCGCCGGTCAGCACGCGCTCGCTCTGGTCCTCGTCCTCCCCGAAGGGCTCCAGCACGAACTTTTGGTCGGTCTGGTTGCCCGCCCACCTCACGGCGATGCTGCCGTCCACCGCGGTGAGCCCGCCCTCGGGGATGCGGATGTGGATGAGCTCGCCGGTCCTCAGGACTTAATACAGGAGGGGCATCCAAGACTGCCTGAGCAGAAGCCTGCGGAGGTCCCAGGCCTCTCACGATTCTTGCACGACGTCGACCCCCAGAGGTCTCGACCCCTTTCTCGGGGCCGGCTTCTCATCCTGAATCGATGTTTGACGGTCCCGAGGCCCGGTGAGGGCCCCCAGTGGCCGAAAAGAACGAAAAACCTCCTGCTGTGATTTTGAACTGACTCGAGGGGGTCCGGGGTCCGCGCACATTTCTTGGATCGGCGCTGGACCCACCCTGGCGCCGCCCCCCATGGCGCGCCTCAGGACGTCCTCCGATACGGTTTTTCTCCATCCGCGGCCCAATCGTTCCAGGCCCTTTCCACAGGAGTATTGGGTCAATTTGCATCATGGATCCACGCTTGATGGTCCTGGAGTCCGAAGGCGGCCCCCGCGGGGGCCGAGATGTAGGCAAAGCCAGGCGATGCAACACTGTAAGATCTTCGGTCTGGGCCAGGGAAGGGTAACCCAGCGCCGATCCGAGACTTCCGCACGGACCTCCGAAACGGTTTGGAGAGGCCTGCCACATGAGGTGCGAGAAGATGGTTTCGGAGGACACCGCACCGCCGATGTGTCAGAGGCGTCAGCGAGGAGAACAACGGGTTCCACGTCGAGCCGCATCGCCGATCGGCGAGGCGGCGCGATCCTCCGACCCCATCCACTCGGAACCCAACTCGGAAGCCTCCTCTGTTCAAGGCCGGTTCTTGAGGGAGAACAAACGGTATGAACATAAACTCTTGGAGGTCCGCGCGGATTTCCTGGATCTGCGCTGGACGCCCCTCCCTGGCGCGCGGGGCGCGCCGGGGGGGGGGGGATATTCCAGCGAGGATCCAGGAAATCCGCGCGGAGCGCCGACGGTCTATGTTCATGGCGCTTCTTCCTGCTTCGAGGTTCTGGTCTTAATCCGTCCTCAGCACGCCGGGGCCCAGCGCTCCGTGCTGCTGCCAGTACTGGGACCCCAGCAGGCTGCCGGCGCGGTGCTGCAGGATGCCGCTGCCGGCCGGAGGGGGGCCCGCGGAGGCAGCCTGGGCGGCCCTGCCGCCCGGCCCGGAGGCCGCAATCCCCAGGCGTGCTCGCGCCGCGACAAAAAAAACTTCGGCGGAAGGCTCGCGCTTCCTCCTCCTCCTCCTCCTCTCTCCTCCTCCTCCTCCTCCTCCTCCTCCTCCTCCTCCTTTTCCTCCTCCTCCTCCTCCTCCTCCTCCTCCTCCTCCTCCTCCTCCTCCTCCTCCTCCTCCCCCTCCTCCTCCTCCCCCTCTTGCTCATCGAATGCCATTCCCCCGTCCTGGTGTGTTCTGCACGTGGTCCGACACCGTCTCTTTCAACCCCCTGTGGGCCCTCGACGGACCTCGGGACCGTCGAACACAGCTCGGGGGGAAGACCCAACACTCGGGAAAATGGTCGAGGCTTCCGGGGGCCCCGCACTGCACAAATCAAGACCACGGATGTTTGATGTCCACCCTGGCCCGTTCGGTGGCGACTCATGAAAACCTCCTCTAGCATCTTGTTGGCCGACGGTAGCCGCTAATCCACGCTGGTCGACGGTGATCGACACTACACTGACGCTAATCGGCGCGAGCCAACGCCCGTCGACGCTACATTTGCGCTGTCTCATCGATTCCCAGACGCTACTCGACGCTAGCCTTAGGTCGGGCATGTCCTCTTACAGGCGGGTTTTGGACGAACAATTAAACATTTCCAAACAATACTCGAAATGAACCCAAAAATAGTTTAGACATCGTCGCCATATTAGTTTTTGACTATTTTTGAACATTTTCCTCCTGTAGAGGGACATGCCCGTCTCGACGCTAGCCGACGCTGCAGACGGGATGAGGACGTCACGTTTGGCTCCCCTAGTTTGCTACCGAAGGCCCGCGCCCCGAAGCAGGCCCAGCAGGAAGTGACGAGAGGCCTCCCGGAGGCCCGAGGAGGGCCGGAAACCGTCGGGGAGGCCCCGCCGTTCCTAGACATCTGGCGTCGCGATGCTGTTCCTAACGTGGCTCCTCAGAGGTCCTCCTCCTCCGCCTCATCCTCCTCGAATCGTCGAAAGAGGGTTCCACCAGGCTTGATAGGCCCCAGCCCGAGCCACGCTTCTATGTTCCAGTGGAACAGAGACGGCTTGAAAGGCTTGAGGTCAGGTCCGAACCCCTTCCCAAGGACCACCTTCTTTGACGGCCCAGGGGCCCGCTGAGAGTCCCAGAAGTCGAAGGTGTCCAAAGATCTTCCGCCGTGGTTCCCTGGGATGCGACGACGCGACAACAAAAAACACTGTGAAACATTGTGACAAGGGCCCCGTGCCCCCTCTTTCTGCTGGCCCCTTCCGAATCGTGCCGGTTTGTGGGGGCTCCGGGGCCCAGAAGAGTGCGGACACGCCAGGCTCGACACAAGTGCGACGCCATGATCCCAGGGCCTGCCCACGACGCGAAGGCGCCCGGGCTCGATGGAAGCAGCGCTAAAACTAACCAATGATCCGCCACCGTGCCGCTGGGCACCAAGGCGTGTCCTCATGAGGAGGCCCAGGCGAGCGCGCGTCGAAAGGACCCCCAAGAGAAAAGCCGGGAGTGGCAGGGAGAGGAGCTGAGGACAGTCCTCAGCTCCTCTCCCCGCCCCTCGTAGCCTCAGCCCTCACTCCTTCAGGAGTCGGTAGAAAAGGGTTCGCAGCCCCTCGGCCCACATCTCCCCAGGGCGCGGCGCATGCCTCACAGAGCGCGTAGCGGATGTCGTCGCGCGACTTCTCGGGCTCAAGACGGCCCCACGACGGGCCCAAAAAAGGCCCCAAGACGCCCACAAGACGGTCCAAGAGGGCCCCGAGTCGTCGAACGATCGCTCCAGGACGCTCCAGATGCCCCCCAGAAGGCCCAGGAGGCCTCCAAGACATCCAAAGGGGCCTCCAAGAGGCCTCCCAAGAGGGCCCCAAGATGCCAAAATCATAGATTTTCCGGAAATGTTTGCATGATTTGGGCGTTCTGGCCTTTTCCGCTTCCCGCCGCTCGCCCTAGAGACACCCAAGACCGCCCCAAGACGGCCCGACGGGCCTCCAAGAGGACCCCAAAACGCCCCAAGAGGGCTCCAAGACAGCCCAAGAGGCGCTCAAAACAGCCCAAGAGGGCGGGGCGGCCCCAAGAGGACCCCGAAAGGGGCTCAAAACAAGGATGACGAACCGAAAATGCGAACCTTCCGCCCCAAGAGGCCCCGAGAGACACTCAGGAGGCCCCAAGAGGCCCACAAGAGGCCCCCAAGGAGCCCCAAGAGGCCCCCAAGAGGACCACGGGATGGGCCGACGGTCATTAGATCCGCCGCCCCCTGTCGATTCATCGCAGGGGTGCCTGGCGTGCTAGACCCTCTCGGTTTTGGTTTTGGTTCTTTTCTAAAAGAATTCCCCCTGGGGCTTCGGCCCGTCCCGCCGGGGCCCCCGCAAGACCCATAGGACGCCCAAGCCATCGCCCAATTCCCAAATGTTCCTCCAAGACGGCTCAAGATGGCCTCCAAGATGGCCACGTTGGCCCAAGATGGCCTCCAAGATGGTCCAAGATGGCCTCCAATTCCGCCCAAGATGGTCCAAGACGGCCTCCAAGACGGCCCAAGAGGGTCCAAGATACCTCCAAGTTCGCCCAAGAAGCCTCCAAGACGGCCCAAGACGACCCAAGAGGCCTCCACGAGGTCCTCCAGGAGGGCCCGAAGAAGCTAACATCATTGATTATCCGTTTGTTTTTGAAGGATGTTCGCATTCGCTTCTTCTCGGCTTTCCGACGACCCAAGACGGCCCAAGAGGCCCCCGCGATCGCCCCCACAGCGCCCAAGAGGCCTCCAAGATGGCCTCAGGACTGCGCAAGACGCCCCCAAGACGGCCCCAAGGGGGCACAACGACGACCCAAGAGGCCTCCAAAACGCCCACGATGGCCTCCAAGACGGCCCTGGAGCACCCCAAGAGGGCCCCAAGTCGGCCCAGAAAGGCCCCCCAAACGGCTTCCGACGGCGTCAGACGGGCCAGGAGCCCACCAAGATGGCAGAAGTTGGCTCGAAGCTGGCCCACGACGGCCCAAGAGGCCTACAAGAGGGCCTCCAGCAAGGCCAGAAAAAGGCCCCAAACACTTATTTGTCCTAGGTGTTTGAAGGATTTTGACATTTGCTTCGTTTCGGCCTTCCGACGGCCCGATACGGCCCAAGAGCTCCCAAATATCGCCCAAGGATCGCCCAAGAGGCTTCCAAGATGGCCCCAGAACGGCCCAAGAGGCCCCCAAGACGGCCCCAAGAGGCCCCCAAGACTGCCCAGGAGGCCCTTAAGACGCCCAATATGGCCTCCAAGACCGCCCTGGAGCATTCCAATAGGGCCTCAAGTCGGCTCAGAGAGGGCCCCCAAACGGCTTCCGACGGCGTCGGACGGACCAGGGGCCCCCCAAGACGGCCGAAGATGGCACTAAGATGGCCCAAGACGGCCCAAGAGGCCTCCAAGAGGGCCTCCAGGAAGGCCCGAAAAGGCAAAAACCATTGATTTCCCAGGATTGTGGCATTTGCTTCTTTTCGGCCTTCCAACGGCCCGAGACGGCCCAAGTGCCCCCAAAAATCGCCCAAGAGGCCCAAGATGGCACCAAGAGGCCCCCAAGACGGCCGAAGAGGCCTCCAAGACGCTCAAGATGGCCTCCAAGACGGCCCAAGAGCCCTCCAAGACGTCCTCCAAGAAGGCCCGAAAGGGTCAAAATGGCCTCCCGTCGGTCAAGATGACCTTCAAGATACCCGCGTGGTCCCCGAAGACTTTCCAAACCGATTCGGGGAACACATGGTCCGATAGCTTGGCAGGTCTGGCCTCAACGTTCGGCCACATAGGTGCTTCCACAGAAGCAGTGGGCGGCGGTGATTCGCCGTAGGCGTCTTCGATCCGCCGCCCCCTGTTGCTTGTAAGGAGAAACCCTGGCGTGCCAAATCCTATCGTTTTTGGTTTTGGTTTTTTTCCAAAAGAACTCCCCCTGGGGCTCCGGCGCGTCCCGTTGGCCACCCGGAAAATGCCCAATCTGGAAAGAATCTTCCAAGACAGCTAAAGATGGCCTCCAAGATGGCCACGGTGGCCCAAGATGGCCTCCAAGATGGTCCAAGATGGCCTCCAAGTTCGCCCAAGAAGCCTCCAAGACGGCCTCATGACGGCCCAAGAGAGTCCAAGATATCTCCAAGTTCGCCCAAGAAGCCTCCAAGACGGCCCCATATGACCCGAGAGGCCTCCAAAAGGTCCTCCAGGAGGGTCCGAAGAGGCCAAAATCATTGATTTTCCTATGGTTTTTGAAGGATTCTGGCATTTGCTTCTTCTCGGCATTCCGACAGACCAAGACGGCCCAAGAGGCCCCCAAGATCGCCCAAGAGGCCTCCAAGAGGGTCCCTTGATGGCACGAGGGCCCCCAAGACGGCCCCAAGAGGGCCCCAAGACGGGCCAAGAGGCCTCCAAGACGCCCAAGATGGCCGCCAAGACGGCCCCGAAGCGCCCCAAGAGGGCTCCGAGCCGGTTCAGAGAGGCCCCCAAGACGGCCCCCGACGGCGTCAGACGGGCCAGGAACGCCCAAAGACGGCCAAAGAGGCGCCCGAGAAGTCCCAAAAAGGCCCCATGGGGCCCTCAAGAGGCTCCAAGAGAGCCCAAGATAGCACCAACATGGCCTCCAAGACGGTCCCAAGATGGCCCAATCGAGCCTCAGAGTGCCCCAGGAGGCTCCGAAGAGGCATCCCCCCCCTTCTCCTTTTTCCTCCTTCTCCTCCTCTTCCTCTTCCTCCCCCACGTGTTCCCCGAAGGCTTTCCAAACCGACTCGGGGACACACATGGTCCGATAGCTTCGCCCCCCAAGATGCCTCCAAGACGGCCCAAGATGCCTCCAAGACGGCCGAACATGGCGTCAATATTGCCCAAGACGGCCCAAGAGGCCTCCAAGACAGCCCAAGAGGCCTCCAAGAGGTCCTCCAGGAGGGCCCGAAGAGACCAAAATCATTAATTTTCCCTAGGTGGTTCAAGGATGTTGGCATTTGATTATTCTCGCTATCCCGACGGCTCAAGACGGCCCAAGAGGCCTCTTCCTCTTCCTCTTCATGTTCATTCTCCCCCACGTGTTCCCCGAAGGTTTTCCAAACCGATTCGGGGAACGCATGGTCCGATAGCTTGGCAGGCCTCTGGCCACACCTCTCGGCCACACAGGCGCTTCCGAAAGGGCAGGGGGCGGCGGTGATTCGCCGTAGGCGTCTTCGACAGGAGAGCATGACCAAACATCACGGAGATGCACGTGCTACTGCTGTTGCGACACGGCTGGAATGATCGCCTGAACATCGTCTGCTGCCAGCGACTCCGCGCGAGGCGGTCGCCGCGGAGGCCGGGACCAGAGAGGCTCGAGCCCTCCTCGACGGGGCCGCCTCGACGGGCCCTCCTCCGGGCTGGGGGTGCTGCGCAGCCCGTCCCCGCGGGAGCCGAGGAAGGTGTCCTCGAGCGAGCGCAGGGCCTCCTCCATGCAGATGGACAGCCGCGCCGCCAGGAACCCGGCGAACCTCCGCAGGAGGGACGCCCAGATACCCTCGGGCCATGGCCAAAAGGCACGGCGGGGAGCTGTTCCTGACTCTCGGCCCCTCGGGGCCCACACGAGGCCTCGGGGCCGTCAGAAACCGACCCGGGAGGAAAAACCGATCCTGGGGGAAGGGTCCAGACCTCTGCGCCTCTGGGGGTCGACGTCATGAAAGAGTCATGCTGTCAGGGGTCTGGGAGCGGTTCCTGAAGGAAATGTGACCTGGAGCTGCTTTTCCGCCGCTCTCCTGCTCCTGGGGCCGTCCACGGGCCCAAGGGCTGCGTCGACAAAGCTGCCCAGGAGGCGAAGCTGGGCCCGGGGCACGCCCCGGGGTATATAGGTCCCGTTTCCCTCGGGACCCCTTCCCAGACCTCCGACGGTGCGCCTTTTTCGACGCGCGGCCCCAGAAGTCCCGCGACCCAGCCACGGTCGTACCCGTGCGCCCCCTCAGACTCCCTCTTGATGGTCCCAGCGCCCGAGAGCGATCGAAGCACACATGGAGGGATTCACAAAAAAAGCAGAACAACAAAAAGCCTTACCATTTTTAAAGAGGCACATGTTGATTCCCACCGCCTTCCGCCAGCCTTCCGCCGGCCTTCCGCCAGTTCCCGCTGGCGGAAGCGCCGCCATTGTACTTCCGCCGCCTTTCGCCGCCCTGCCGCCGAGGAAGGGACGGCACCACCTTCCTTGCCCCTCGAGGACGGCGCCCCTTTCCTTCACGCCTCACGCATCGTCGGCGGTGTGGGATTATGCCAGGGCCCGAGGGCGGTCGAGAAACACACGAGCGACGAACAACAACTGGTCCTCCGCGAGATGGCATCGCGACTTGACGCGGTGGCCCACGCGGGCCGCTGGCGCGGCACGCTACGCTGGAGACGAGGGCGCGCACGCGCGACCTTGCGCTCGGGCAGCTTACGCGCCAATGTCGGCGCAGGCGACCCCGACTCCTCGGGGGCGGCCAAGAGGAGGGCGGCCAAGAGGGGTTGGCGCAAATCATGGCCAGCGGTATCTGCGCGGCCCAGGGGGGGCGCCAGGGACGCATTGAAGTAAGAGGCGCCACGATATCTGGGGAGACACCATGGCCCCCGCCATGATGCCCCCCCCCCCAGCCACCACCACCCTCTTGGCCGCTCCAGGCCTCTTGCTCGGGGATGGACAGACCCCCCTTTAGTGAAAACGACCTGGGGCCCAAACCTGGCGGGCGCAAGCCTGGAAACTGACGGCCACGGCGCCCTCTCGAGAACCGAGAACGGACAATTCACTCATCGACGTGTCACCGGTGGGGCCTCTGTCCAGCCCCGACTTGCTCCTCGCTCGCACACCGTCGGCGGCCCGGGCCCCCGCCGTGGCGAGAACCACTCCTCCCCCGGCGCGCACGCCGGCAGCTCCTCCCCGAGCGCGGCGCGCAGGTCCCAGCTCGCCGCGGCCGGCTGGCTCCTGTCGCGCGCCGGGCCAGAGGTTGGCCCTGGCAGGGCTCGTGACAACTGTTCGGCCACCCTTAGTGGGCCCCGGAAACGGCAGGGCCGTTTTTTCACCGTTTCCAAAAAAATGTCTCTTGAAAATGGAGACGGCAAAAAAACGGCGGCCGGAAACGGCAACGAAAACGGCTCCACGATTGGAACCAGAGCCGGAACTGGTAAAAAACGGCGACGGAACCGGTAAAAAACCTGCGTCGGAACCAGCAAAAAACGGCAAAACGGAACCGGTAAAAAAACGCCCTTGTCGTTTCCAGGGCCCACCAAGCGGCCACCCCCTGGGGTCGTAGGGTGCCTGGACATGAGCACCAACGACAACTCAGGGGGGGTCCACCGAGGGAAGATGGTCCTAGATTGAAGTGTTGGCATTCTCTCGGCCACCTAGGACGCCCGACCATCCGACCACGAGCACCATCGCCGAGATCGGAATCCTCTCCCCTCGGTGGATCACACCGCCGATACTGGAACGTCCGGGAAGGTGTCTCCAGGGTTCCCGAGGAGGCCCCAACAGCCTTCAGAGCGCTCCTCACGAGGCCCCAACGGGCCCCGGTGGGCACCGAAGTGCCACGAGAAGGTCTGGACACCTCAAGGCCAAAAACGCCTTCAATATAACCCCCTGTCCTGATGCGCGCGGCGATGATCCTCTGATCGTCCGGCTTGGGCTTCGGGCCGGACAGGATCCGGTCCCGCTGGATCTGCTGCGTGATGGTAAACGCGCGCATCGACCACATGGACTGCGGCGCCTCCAGCAGCGTGCGCACGGCGAGGAAGCCGCGCAGCCCGACGCCGAGCACCACCATGAGAAGCGTGCTCCAGCAGAAGGTGGCCACCATCAGCGCGTCGTCGGCGAAGAGCTCGCGGCCCGCGTTCAAGTCCCACGCGAGCCGTTCGCCGCATAGCACGAACATGCCCGCCAGCTCCACGGCCCGCAGGACGTAGTACAGCTCGGGCTGAACCGCGAGTGGGCTATCCTTCTCGAGCATCGGCGTCATTAGGCCTCGGATGTTTTTAACAACGCTTAGGGCGTTTTTTGTTGTTCTGATGTTGTTCGGTGATTTGTGTATCTATACATACATATCTACACATACGTATCTAAGGCGGGCGTTAAGGAATACGCTTTGAGAGCGTCTCTCATGTCTGGCATTGGCTCGTGGCCAACCTGCCCGCTTCTTTCCACTACCATTGCGTCAAGACAACAATACTATAATTTCACAATGCCGCCTACCTGACGCTCACGTTCTGGGGCAATGCTTTCAGCACGTTCAGGCACAGCCAACTGCGAAAAGTCAGTAAGCACACGCGCAACAGAAAGGCCAACAGCGATCTTGAGAACAACTAAGCACGAAGCAGATGCAAGACGGGAGCGCGAAGAAGATGTTGCTCCTCAGCAGCTTCCACCCGAAGGAGCGGCTCCTCGCCAGCTGGTGCAGCGCCGCCAGCGTGCACATCAGCGCGCTGTCGCCGAGCACCACGTACACGATCGACCAGCCGCCCATGACACACTGGAAGAGCGCCTGGAGGACGGAGACACGACGGCATCGAGACACACGCTTGCGGAGCTCCGCGGGCATCTCTTAAGCCGGCGCTGGTCCGCGCCCCTTGGCCCAGACCTTCGACGATCTGATTTCTCCATAGATGTTCTCCTCCTCCTCCTCCCCTCCCTCCTCCTCCTCCTCCTCCTCCTCCTCCTCCTCCTCCCTCCTCCTCCTCCTCCTCCTCCCCTCCTCCTCCTCCCCTCCTCCTCCTCCTCCTCCTCCTCCTCCTCCTCCTCCTCCTCCCCCTCCCCCTCCCCCTCCCCCTCCCCCTCCCTCCTCCTCGGCCCCTGGGGGCCGCTTTCCGACGCTGCGAGCATCCAGCACGCATGTGGGGCGCAATCCCCCTACCCCCCAGGGTCCTCAGGAGCCGCGGGCGGGCCGAAAAAACACCATAATGCGTCCGACGTTTGGGGAGGTCCGCGGACGGATGTCTTGGACCGGCGCTAGGCCCCCCCCCTTCCCCCTGTGGCGCGAGCAACGAACGCAGTAAGAGCCGCAGGCGGGCTGAAAAACACCATAGAGTCTGATGTTTGGGAGGCTCGCGCGGATGTCTGGGACCGGCGCTGGACCCCCCCCCCCTCCCCCTTGGGCGCGAGCAACGAACGCGCCGGGGCCCTTCTGCCCCCCCCCTTCAGCGGCGCCTCGGGGGCCTCTCCTGGCGCGAAACGCGCGCCAGGGGGTGAAGGGGGTCCAGAGCCGATCCAACAAATCTGCGCGGACCTCCCCAGACATCCGACGCTATAATTTTTTCCACCCCCGGCCCCAACGTCCCGACCCCGTCCCCAGGGATAGCTCTGCGTCCCAGGATCCGCTTTTGATGCGCCCAGGGCCGGAAAGCGGCTTCCGAGGGGGGCAGGCAGAACGAGAGGCACACCCACCGATTGACTAAAACACATCTCTCCGGAGGTCTGGGCCAGCAGGGGGGGGGTCCGCGACGTCTCGAAAAATCACTCCTGTTTACGCTGCTTGTTTCAGACAACGTTCCTCTGCCCCTCTCCCGTGGGAGTGGCTCACCAAAACCACCCCCGCCACCGCCAGGGGAAGAGGGCTGCCCAAATCCCCTCACCGCTTTCGGCGGAAGCGCGCGCACAAGGCCGACCAGCGCCAAAGGAGGAGGAGGAGGAGGAGGAGGATGAGGAGGAGGAGGAGGCAGGAGGAGGAGGAGGAGGAGGAGGAGGAGGAGAGGAAGGAGGGAGGAGGGGAGGAGGGAGGAGGAGGAGGAGGAGGAGGAGGAGGAGGAGGAGGAGGAGGAGGAGGAGGAGGAGGAGGAGGAGGAGGAGGAGGGAGGAGGAGAGGAGGAGGAGGAGGAGGAAGGAGAAGGAGGAGGAGAGGAGGAGGAGGAGGAGGGGAGGAGAGGAGGAGGAGGAGGGAGGGGAGGAGGATGAGAAGGAGGAGGAGGAGGAACGGGAGAAGGAGGAGGAGGAGTAGGATGGAGGGGGAGGAGGGAGGAGGAGGAGGAGGGAGGAGGAGGAGGAGGAGGAACGGGAGGAGGAGAAGGAGGAGGAGGAGGAGGAGGGAGGAGGAGGAGGAGGCGGGAGGAGGAGGCGGAGGAGGAGGAGGAGCGGGCTCGCCCTCCACGATTGCAGGCGAGTGGGTGGGCTTGTAGGCGTAATGCGCGGGTGTGGCGAGCAGCTGCAGGTCCTCGATGGCGACGCACGTTCCTTGAAATGCAAGCAAAACTGGTTTGGCGGAAGTACGTGAGCGTTTTCTTATTCGGCGTTTCGACATTGAGCGAAGAGGGGTGGAGGGGGGGATCTGGCTCCGGACCTCTGCTTAGTGCGACTGTTTGCAACAGTCCGTCCTATGGAAAAAGCTCCAAACAGGCGCCAAAATTCAGCCAAGATCCGCTCCATGAGGGGGGATGCGAGGGCCCGCGCCGATCGGCAAAACAAGGAATAAGAAAACGGGAGAAGAAGACGGCGCTTGTCGTCGCGGCATTGATCAGCTCGTTCAAGAAGAGCCCGAGTGTTCCAGAGAGCGATGTTCAGGTCTTCTTGCCAGGAGTTCAGGAGCCACGGGCACCAACGATGGCTAAATCCACTGCGCCACCGTGATGGCGTCCGCGAAACGGTCGGCGAACTCCGTGTTGATGGCGCGCTAAGCGTCGTCCAACCCTCGGCCGACACCAGCGCTGGACAGCTGCAGACGAATGAGAGCCTCAGCAGAGGATACCATGCGTAGACGCACGACCGATGAACGCGGAGGTCGGCGAGCGGCATGTTGCGTTATATGGTCTTGGAGAGGCACGTGACTTGAACTTAGTGGCGAACAGTACTCGGCTCTTGTCGGCAAGGCTATAGAAGGGGAACGGCGCCATCGTTGCAAACGAAAAACGTTGTCTCCCGGAAAGAGTGGCGCTTGGAGTGGCCGACGGTGTTGAAAGCAATGTGGCCCCTCTCGAGGTTGACAGCGTGGAACCAGTCGACGAGAGCACGTTCCAGCTCAGGCTGATTGAACTCCTGCGGGCTGCTGCACCAAAACGTCATAGGATCTGGGTCTCTGTCCCAGGTGCCGAACTTGTCGGTGTCGAGGGCGGGAGCACAAACTTCCGCTTGCGAGACGAGACTCTCGAGTTTAGCGACCGATGCTTTGAGCTCCGCGCTTTGCGCTTCCAGGACTGACGTGCGAACATTGACGTCGGTGAGGGTGTGCTCCGTGGACTCGTGCCTCTTGCAAAGGTCGGCTGTGGTGGCAGTGATCGAGTCGAGGAATTCCTTGCTAGTGGCGGCGGTGACGGACTTGGCGGTGGCTTCGAATCTGGCGGCAGCTTTTTTGCATCGTTCTCCCATGGCCTCTTCGAGATGCTTGCGTACATTGGCAGGTAGTCCATGGGAGGGCAGTTCGCTTGCACTTGCAGCCCAGAGATGTTGACCTTGATAGTTTTCTCCAGGTTCGTGGGGATCGATTTGTCTGGCGGCCGAGTCATCTCCTCCAAGTGATCCCATCGTGCTGGTGTGAGGCCCGCGGCAGCCTCGAAGGAACAAGCGTAGTATGAATGCCAAGCGCAGGAGAATGCGGTGGCGATGGGTATGAAGCTCAACCACGCGGGCGCGAGGCAGGCGAAAGCTGCAGTCCGATGCTGTCCCTGGACAAAGGGCCTCCGTGCTCCGCCACGAGCGATGAGCATCCAGGGCAAAATTGGCTACGGAGAAGGGAGGGGAAGGAGAAGGAGTATGACAAAGGACGAGGAGTAGAGGGCAGAGGCGCCAGCGGCCCGCTGTTTTGCTTCCTCCTTCGAGCACCAGCGAGGCCGCCCTCGACGTCACCTCGCAGACGCGGAAGACGAAGACCGCCCAGTACGCCGCCGAGGTGCTCCGGCACAGTCCTGGCAGCTGGACGAGCATCTCCCCGCCGTCGTAGCGGTCCAGGGAGGCGAACGCATACCTTGGGAGGGAACAGGGCACCTGCGCTCGAGAACTTGTGCTTAGCGTGTCGCCGCGGCGGCCACGGCGACACGCTGTGCCCTGCACGAAGATAGCGTATCGCTGCGCTCCCGAGGCCGAGAGGCTGATAAAGGCTCGGAGCAGTGATGGTCGGGGACTTGGACGTGGATGGCGTGTCGCGCCGAAGCGTGGTGGGCCAGAACCGGCGAAGCGACACGCCAGGCCAAAGCTCCCGCCCGAGGCCCCCCGCAGTCGCGGATCAGAGGCAGGGGTGCGCGAGCGGTGCGTGCGCGCGTGTCCTTGAAAGACACACGCGCGTACGCACCGCGTGCGCACCTCTCGTCCAGTGCCCGTCCCCAGCGTCCAGCCCCAGTGCCCGTCCCCGCTGTCCATCCCCAGTGCCCGCCCCCAGCGTCCAGCCCCAGTGTCCGTCCTCAGCGCCCAGCCCCAATGCCCGTCCCCGCTGTCCAGCCCCAGTGTCCGTCCTCAGCGCCCAGCCCCAGTGTCCGTCCTCGGCGCCCAGCCCCAGTGTCCGTCCCCGGCGCCCAGCCCCAGTGTCCGTCCCCAGTGCCCAACCCAGCCCGAGTGTCCCCGCACCACCCCGAGCCACGAGCGCAAGCCCAAGGAAAAGATGGCCCTGTTCGGACAACGCTACCTCTCCCCTGATGAACGACACGCCGCCGATGGGAGCCCGTCAGCGAATCCTGGTCTCCGTCAGTCGGTAACCCGCTGATGGGCCCCCCACGGCGACATGCTGCTACTGCTTGCTTAGCGCCCTCGATGCCCGATCGAGATGAAGGACAGGGCGATGGACGCGTACAGGTCCGCCTTGTCGGCCAGGTCCAGGGTGGAGAACACGACCGCGTAGGTCTGCACAAAGGCGGAGACCGCGGACTCCAGGATGGACTCCGCCAGCGTCGAGATGAACAGGAACCTCGGAGCAGGGCGGGTTGGGACAACGGCAGCTCGACATCGGTCCTCGCCGGACCCCTCCGGGGGGGCCCAACCCAACCGCTCCGATGTTCTGGGCTGCGTCCAGCCGTGGCAACGATTGAAGAATAAAAAACGCCATTTACATAGACTTTTGGCGCTCCGCGCAGATTTCTTGGATCTGCGCTGGACTCCCCTCCCCGGCGCGCGGAGCGCGCGGGGGGCGGCGCCGGAGGCGCCGCCTGGCCTGGGAGGGCCCCAGCGCGAATCCAAGAAATCCGCGCGGAAGGCCAAAAGTTTATGTTTATGGCGTGTTTTATCGGCGGTGGACAACCACCCTTGTGTAAACCACCATTTGGTGAACCACCCTTTCGTGAAAACGGCCCAGGACCGACCTGGACCCGCAAAAATGACGGCCGCGACGCCCTCTCGCGAACCGAAAACGGCCAATTCGCCCATCGACGTGTCAGGGTAGGAGGTCTACCAACCTCCGACTCTACTCTTCGAGACGAGGGGGTCCCCCGAAGGCCATCGACCGCTGCCTGAGGCCGCCCTCCTCGGACCCCCCCCCCCCAACGTTGCCCAGTGCGCCCCAACCTCCTCCTCGGACCCCCCCCCCCCAACGTTGCCTGAAGACCCCCTCCTCGGACCCCCCCCCCAACCTCCGACTTTACTCTCCGAGACGAGGGGGTCCCCCGAAGGCCATCGACCGCTGCCTGAGGCCGCCCTCCTCGGACCCCCCCCCCCAACGTTGCCCAGTGCGCCTCTCGGGTCGCAGCCCGGCTCGCCGGCGGCCGCTCGGGCAGCCCCGGGCCCCCCCGGCACGGTCCGCGGCCGTGCTCGGCGAGGTGCAGCTGCTGGAGGAAAGGAGCCCAGGGACACACACAGAAATGCACACACGAATCCCAAGATTCCCCCACATTTCCCCTATATTTGCTGGGTGTTCGTGTTCCCCCCCCACACACTTCCCACATGTTCCCGCATTTTCCTTGGAATCGACGGTTAATTGTGTCTGTGTTCTTTTTCCCCTCCTGATGGAGAGCATCCCGAGGCTGGAAAAACGCCGAGTACCACCAGAAACGTCCGAAAACTTCAAACCTCAAACTGACATACCCCCCGAAGGCCAACTACCGTGGTGTCAGCCAGTCCTCCTCTGAGAACCGGTGCTTCTGGCCCATCGCCAGTGACAAGATCGAGAGATACGTCACGTGGCCGCCCGCGAGCGGGATTAGCAGCCCGACGATGAGCACCTGGTAGGATCAGTCGACACCAAGTCGGGAAACCAGGTCGAATCGGCATTTGCGTCGGATCGGCCTGCAGCTGAGAGGCAATGATAGGGGGGGGACAGGCACATGGGGGCAACCATCGACTTGGAATTGGCGATACATCACCGATAGATCGGCGATACTTAGCCCCCGGATAGCGCCATCCGCCAGTACTGGGCGGGGTGGGATATCAGGCCCCTATCGCCAATGAGTGAGTGATCGAGGGTCGATGTGTCCCCAAATGTCGTTGCCCCAGACATGTGCGTCGGGTCGGCCGGCATCGGCACGAAGCCAGCATCGAATCGGATCAGCGCCGCCAGGATGCACGCAAGCATTAGGTCGGGCGTGTCCTCATACAGGCCGATTTTAAACGAAAAAACAAAAATAGTCAAAAATACCCTCCAAATACCCAACAATAGTCAAAACATCGTCCCCGGACTATTTGTTGACTATTCTGAACGTTCCTCCTGTAGAAGGACGTGCCCGACTTACATCAGGCCACATGGGGACGCCAGAATATAGGAATCGGATCGATCGGCTCGACATGGGCCCTGCCTGGTACCCGGGGAGCGAGGGGCCGTCGCCATCCTCCCCCTCGCGGAGTATCTTGTAGAGCTCGACGGCAGTCCAAACCAGGCCGAGGACGATGCCGCCCAGGTTGCTGAAGAGGAAGCCGAGCTGGCCGCCTTCCCAGAAGATCTGCATGGCCTGGATGTCGAGATAGAGGTCCAGGTAGTACCTATGGACGCGAGAGCGGCACAGACATAGACTGTCGGAGGTCCCCGCGGATTTCTGGGACCTGCGCCGAAGCCCCCTGGCGGCGCCTCTGGCGGGGCTCCGAAAGCTTACGTGGGCTTTTGCAAGTTGTCCTCCGGCGATGCCTGAACCACATCCACACCACGATGTCGAAGAAGAAGGCGGCGAGGACGCGGAACTTCCAGGCGGCCAGCACGAACCACTCTCCCGACGCCCTCGTGCGGTACAGCCGCTGCAGCTCGTGCATCTCCTCCTCCTCGTTCCTGGGGGCCCTCCTGGCCTCCTCCACCTCCTCCCTCCCTCCCTCCCACCCTCTCTCTCCCTTCTACCTCCTTGTCCTTCCCTCCCCCTCCCCCCCTCCCCTCCCCCCCTCCCCCCCACCCCGCTCCCCCCCTCCCCCGTCTATTCTCTCCTTCGCCTCCAGTACCTCAGGAAGGACCTGGAACCGACGGCACATCGCCAACGGGATCGGCGACAGGCCCCCTAACAGGACAGACCCCACTGCTTCCAGCGGCTGGGCCTCGATCGGAACGGAGTGGGCGACGGGGGGTTAACAGGGACCGACCGGCCGGGCATTCCTGGAGGCCTACCACGACATGTTCTTGGAACCCAAAACTGTTAGAAAAACAGAATCCGCGTTCTTGGACCATCAGCTTGATGTGATACAACGAAACAGTCTCAGCCAAACACGTTCCAAGAACATTCCGTGCAGACCACAATAATAAACGAGCCCTGGGACACACGCAAATATGGACACAAATCCCAGGATTCCCAGTATTTTTAAATATCATCGGGGTTCTCGTCTTCCCCCCTACTTCCCATATTTTCCAGTATTTTCTTTGGAGTGGACGATTAATTGTGTCTGTGTGCATTTCTTCCCTTACGAAATCGGTTCTCAGAACATTCACTGGTGGGCCTATAGGGGAGCCGGGACGCCACCTCTCCACTGCTCGAGGGGGGGGCCGATGCTCCCAGACATCCGACCTCTAGTCTGCTGTTGCAGCGCAGCTCTTCCAGGGTACGACCCTGCTGTGGACCGGCGCTCCGTCGCTTTTTGTTTCCCGTCAGTTCACGCCGACCCCGTGATGCTTGATTGGGAAGGCGGTCGCCCCGATGGGCGAGCAGTGGACGCGCGCTCCGTCGCGTTGGGACGGCCTCCCAGGGCCCGGCGGAGGGCCCCCGGAGGCCGAGCCTGCTGGAACGAGGAGCGCGCCTCGTGATGCCCTCGCGGCGCGGAGCTGGCAGGGCGAGAGCCCGCTCCCCGCCCCCCGCGGGCGCCCCCCCCCCCCCCAAGAGGAAAGCGTCTCCCCCGCCCTGGGGGGGGGGGGTCTTCGTCCCGCGGCATGCCCCCGTAGCGCTTCGACAGGGAGTGGGCCCTGAGGAGGAGGAGGAGGAGGAGGAGGAGGAGGAGGAGGAGGAGAAGGAGGAGGAGGGAGGAGGAGGAGGAGGAGGAGGAGGGGAGGGGGAGGGGGAGGAGGAGGAAAAGGAGGAGGAGGAGGAGGAGGGGAGGAGGGGGAGGGGGAGGAGGAGGAGGAGGAGGAGGAGGAGGAGGAGGAGGAGGAGGAGGAGGAGGAGGAGGAGGAGGAGTGGGCCCTGAAAAACTCACCGAACGAGAGAGACCACGAGGCCCGTGCGTGCTGGACGTCTTCTCGGGACGTCTTCTGCGGGCCCCCCGAAGGCCTCCGGAGACCTCGCAGCCACCCACAGGTCGGGCATGTCCCCCTCCCTGCAAGCGGATTTTGGGCAAACATACAAAACATAGTCAAAACATTAACAGACATATTCAAAAGATTGTCTAAAAGTCGTCCCTAGACTATTGCTTATACTATGGTTGACCATTTCTCCTGTAGGGGGGCACACCCGACTGAAAGCTACCCCGACTCCCTGACTCCCGATCTGCCGTACTTTGGCCTAGTCAATCAGCAGGGCGGGAACTCCAGCCCTGCTGCACAAGCTCCTCTGATGGCGATTTCCGACCATACTTGGCCGTCCGTGTTTCTGCCATACCGTTGCGGACAACATCCGCTCTCGGCATTTCTGCTGCAAAGATTTCCGCCTTACTTTTTCGCACCGTCAGGGGTGCACGTCTGGCACGACTGAACATCTGAAGACCGACCAAAGTACGGCGGATCCGAAGTTAGCTTCTGCTGCGCCTCGCAACATCGAGGATCGAGCCCTCTGGGATCGCAAGACTGCTGGGAAACCAGCCGGCGCCCGCCATGACATCCATCCCCCCCCCCTCCTCTGACCTTCCAGGAGGGCCCAAAAATAGCGCCTAGACCTGAGGGCCCAACTTCCAGTCGAGGCTTTAAGCAGCCCAGATAGGCCTAAGGGTCTGGAGTGCTACCCTCCTGGCACTCTGGAAGGTCAGGGTCGCCCGGGCCCCTCGACGCCTGGATGCTGTCTGGCCATGCCTTGGGCCTCCGGCGCCCGCGCGGGGCGATGCTGGCACCCCCGGCGGAGCCCGCGGAGGCGCAGCTGCCGGAAGCACCCCGATGAGAGAACCCCATCCAAGAACCAACGATGACCTCCTGGACTGCACGTCTTTCATTTCCAATCGTGCTCATTTCTAAGTGTGCTCGTTTCTAAGTGTTCCTGGCCCCCTAGTGGCCAGGAAGAGGCCCAAGATAGAACAATTAGAAATGAAAGGATCTTGGCCATACAAAAAAATAAAAAGCTTTCGAATAATTAGAAATTGACCATGTGTACGTACCAGACCACCCCAACCCAACCCGAAGACCCGAACTTCGGGTTGGGGGGGGTACGGGTTCCATGTGTTTTCTCGATGGTGCCCGACCCCATCCCCCCACTGGAAATGGAGGGCACATTGAGATCTTCGGGTTGGGTTGGGGTGGTTTGGTGGGTGGTGACTCCTGCCCCGGGCCCGTCCGGGAAACAGCTGGCGCCCCCCGGAACAACTCTCTGGTAACGGGCTCTTCATCTAGAGTCTTCTTGTTGCTGGCCCCTGGGGCCGAAGACTGCCGCCCATCAAGAACGCGTTTTTCAACGAGTTCAAACACATCAGCTTGCCTGGGATTTTGACGCCCCCCTTCCGCCCGCTCATGAGTCAATGCTGGGCCGAAACGGCGGGCAAGTGAGCTTCGCCTTGCACGAAGTCCAGAGTTCCTTCAGGGCCTCGCCCGGCCCCTCCCCTCCTCATCCATGCAAATAGAAATGCCAGAACAAAAGGAACAATGGCCTCAAACCAACTCCTGTGGTGATTTCTTCGCGACGCGAGGATCTGTCAGACGGCGCCGAAGTCGAAAGAAAATCTCAAGGATCGAAACGCTACCAGGACAGAACCGCCAGTGCCTAGAAGGAGGCAGTCTTCTTTCGGCTCTGGCGAATTTACTTGCCTGGTGGGGAACGGAGGGGGGCTTGCGAAGCCCTCAAGGAAACCGAACTTCATGCACATCGAGACTCACTTTCACGCCGTTTCGGCCCAGCATTCTTTTCATAAGGCGGCGGAGGGGTGGAGGGGGGGGCGGACTCCCAGCCTGAATTCGATGAAAAGCGCGCTCAAGTCTCGACCCACTCCCGGGGACCCGTTTTTCGTCCTGAGTCGTTCTGGGACGGTCCTGGGCCTGGCAAGGGTCTCTAGTGTTACATCCGCGGAAGTCGCTAAGGGCATAAGAAGGTAATAAGCGAATGCCTAACGTATAGTTGGCCCAACCTGGCTGATATAAATGGATTACAAAAACCCTAAATGGCCCAGGGGGGTGAGATACCTCCGCTAAGTGGGCGGAGCCCACTCAGCCCAGATCGCTAATCTCCCCGAGCCTTGGTGCAGTCATAACCCACTCATTGGCCAAGTAATACCAAGCCACCTTCCTATCCGCTTGGCGGCCGCCATCCCCTCAGCAAACCCCGTGGTCACCCCAGCAGAGGCAGATAACGGCGCAATACCTCCGCCTTGCTTCTCGTCCAATGCTGGGGGAACCACAAAGTACCGATCATGCTACGCACAGGACCTCTCCTGGGGTGAGTTCTGACCAGGATGCCGCCGAAGCGAACCAAGCGGTGGCGACGAGGGCCTCCCAGGAGTCCCAAGAAGGGAACGGGCCGAGGGCAGCGGTATGGGTACGTCTTCCTCCTCCTGAGTGCGCTGGCGCCCCGGGCGGGAAGGCTCCAGGACACGAAGTAAGCGCGCCCGAACGCGAAGCGCAGCGCGCCCGCCCCGAACACCAGCGCGCAGAGCACCGCCACTGCCGTCTCCGTGCCCGGGTCGTGGCGCAGGGTGCTGCAGTAGATGGCCTGGCGGCGGGCCCACGGCCCCCAAACGCCGCCCCGCGCGTGCTCTCCTCGGCCTTCGGCCGCGCCTCGGGGGCTCTCCGGGAGGCTCCCCTGCCTCGGCATGCCTTCCGGCAGACGCCGCCTCGCCGAGGGCGGTCCAGAGGGTGCCCCGATCGTCCCGAGCGGCCGCCAGAGGCCCCCATGGGCGGCCCGGCGGCGGACACGGGCCTCGGACGACACGCGAGCGACGAAACGAAATGGGTCTTGCGCGAGATGGCGCAGCGGCCTTGCTCCGGATGGGATTTTTGTCATGGGGGAGGGGATGACCGACCATCGACGGAGCTTGCAAATCCCCCCCCCCACCCACTCCTCCTCCTCCCGCTCCTCCTCTTCTCCTTCTCCTCATCCTCCTCCACCTCCTCCTCCTCCTCCTCCTCCTCCTCCTCCTCCTCCTCCTCCTCCACCCCCCCCCTCCACCCGTTCCGGGAGCACGTGCCCAATCCCCCCAGCGGATCAAAGTGGGGGAGATCCTTGTCCAATCCAGGCCGCCAACGATGAATGCCACATTGGAAACAAGGGCGCTTACGCGCGACCTTACGCGGGCAGCTTGCGCGTGAAGGTCCGCGCAGACGACCCTTTCTGCGTCGCCGCCGCTCCCCTGCGCGTTGCTCACGGGAGCTTTCGGTGGTTCCCCAAGGGCGCGCCCAATCCCGCGCAGCGCGGACATGATGCACCTCCCTCCCCTGGCGCTTCGGGGCGCTATGGGTCGCTCCCTGGCGCTAGTTGAACGCTGCTCGGCGCCACTGGGCGCTCTTGGGCGCCATTGAGCGCTGTTTGGCGACATTCGTAGATACGCGTGCCTACCAGATGAACATACTACGGCATGCTCGTCAGCTATGAACGTCGGATACCTGCACCTCTCCGGCGACCCTACTTGCTCCACTGCTTGCTTCGCCCTTGGGAGCGCCTCCTCGGCTCTCGGCCTCTGGGCCCCGCGAGTCGGGCTCCCGGGGCCCATCACGAGAAAAACACACCTCCACGGCGAGACATCTGCCCACGGGGACGGGGCTGGGACCAATGGTTGAGCAGGGACCGACCGTCCTGGCATTCCTATAGTCCTACCACGAAATATTCTTGGAACCCAAAAACGTTCTAAAAATAAAAACAATGTTCTTAGACAGTACACCCGATGTGATAAAACAAGACAGACTACACCAGAAATGTTCTAAGAACATTTCGTGGAAACCACAAAAGATGATCAGAACATTGTTTGGTAGCGCTATAGGGGAGCCAGGACGCTTCGCCACTGCTTGATAGGGGGCCGCCAATGGAGAGACATCGCAGCGCCCCCAGACCCTCGACGTCATGATTTTGTCCACGACGTCGAGCCCCCGAAATCTCGACCCCTCCCACGGGACCGGCTCCTCATCCTGAGCCGTTTTTTGGACGGCACAGAGGGCCGGCAAAGGCCCCCATGGAGCTTGAACATACTGACCAAGCTTCCGCTGTGATCTTCTCGTGACTCGAGGGGGTCTGGGTCGGATGTCTGGGACGGGTTCTATCGGGGATCTTCTGACCCGGGTCAATCCAGACCCGAGTCAGCAGGAAACCAAAAACTGCAATGCAGGAAAAACAAACTGCAACGCAGGTCCTCGCAAACCCGGGTCAACCAACAGGCGCGGCCGCCTCGCGGCCACGAACGGCTCCCTAACCCGGGTCAGCCAGAGGGGGTCTTCGCAGGATCCTGCAGGATCCGGCGCCGTGGCTGACCCCCGTTTGCATTGACCCCCGTCTCAAGGCTCCCGATATATAGAAATATATATATATATATATATATATATATAATGATATATTCTATGGGAGTCGTGGCTCCTGGCGCGCGGAGCACGACAGCAGTGGGGGCCCTGCTCGAGAGGCCCCCCCCCGTCGTGGCCGACCCCGGGCGGCCTGGCGAGGGCCCAGGCCTCCGAGGAGGTGCCCGCAGTGATGGCCCGCGTCGGCGGGGCTTGATGTTGCGCCCAGCGTACTTTCACAGGACCGCATCCCCGAACTGCCATCGGTCGGAAGAGGTAGGTAGAACCATGAAGCAGGAAGGCAGTGGAAGTAGATTGGGCCTCCGCCCGCCCCTTGATGAGGAGGGAAGAAGGAAGCCAGACGATCCTGGAAGTAGGAAGGCGCCAAAAGTAGCTTGGAATCTGGGAATCCGAGAATACCTACTTTCAACGACCGATGGGTAGCTGCGCCAATCCAGCCATGGGGACTGTGGAGGGCTCCTGCCAGGATGTCTCCCGCTGCCGCGCCTGCTTTGCGACGCCGGATGTCGGGGGAAGAGGAGGGAGGGAAGAATGGGGGGGGGGTGAGGAGGACAGAGCAAGGATCACGGAATCGACGAGGAGGGATGGGCGAGGAGGGAGGAAGAGGCAGGAGGGATCAAGGCGTCGAGGAGGAGGAACGAGCAGCGAGGCCCTGGGGCTTGTGTTGCCCCCATCGCACATGAGGACCACATCCCAGAAATAAGTTCGAGCACCCAGCAAAGTACCGAAACAGCGTCGAACGAGTATCGCCTCCCAGGGCCCGACGCGTGAAGACCCTCCAGCTTCGGTGCTCTGCTTGGTGCTCGAGGTCCTTTCTGGTGGCCAAGGCTAAAAAGTAGGCTGGAGCATCACAACCTCAGGACCGAGTCACGACGGGAGGCTCGAGATTCTTGTGCTCGAGATTCTTTCTGGCTCAAGATTCTTTCTGGCGGCCAAGGCTAAAAGTAGGCTGGAGCATCACAACGTCAGGACAGAATCACGACGGGAGGCTTTTGTTGGCCGTGCTCGCACTCCGGGGGCCCTCGCCGCTGGGCCCCAGGAGCGTCAAGAGACGGCTCAGGATGAAGAACCAGTTCCGAGAAAAGGGTCGCAGCGAAAAAAAACAACAAACACATCGGATGCGTGTGAATGTAGAAATAGAAAATCGGTGGTCCTGTCTTTCGTTCCTGGGCCCCCGATGGCCATCCAAAGCGGATCTGAGACGCAAGCCTACCCCCCAGGAAGGGTGTCGGGAGCTCTGGGGGCCTCGGGCTGAACAAAAGGCATTGTCGGATGTCTGGGGGCCAGTCAGAAAAAACCAGCAGCCGCGTACGCTCGCACATGCGCAACGAGGGCGCATGAACGCGTCCATGCTGTACTGCTGCGCTGCGACTCCCCAGGCGCCTGACGGAATGCTATTGACATCTGCCCGGCTGGTGCAGCTTTGCATACCTGCGTCCTCATCGCGTCCCCAATCTAGGTGGCGACATCCGAGCCCTACCCCCGCCGCACATCGAGTTACCGGAACCGCTGCTCGGCGCGGGCAGGCATCGGATTTCGCCGCCGATGACATGCGTTGATGGGCGCGGACGCCTTGCAACCTTTAAAGGGCGCCGAGATCAGCATTCAGCAAATCAGCAATACAGCGGTCACTAGATCAGGACATCGGAAATACACAATTCAGCAACTCAGATATTCAACAAAAGAAAAAGGCCCACTACTTCAGAAATTCGGATATCGGCAGCTCTGTGACTCAGATATTCAACAAAACGAGGGTCCACTACCTCAGAAATTCGGATCGCGGCAGCTTTGCCACTCAGATATTCAGTAAAACACGGATGACAGTTTCAGCAGCAATTCGGAATTCGGCGAATCAGCAACTCAAATGCTTCAACAGCTCAGTGTTTCAATATACTGGAGAGGGAGGGTGAAGAGGGGAGAGGAGGAGGGCCCCTCGTCCTCTTCCCGCCGCCCTTCCCTCCCCCCGCCCTCCCTCGACCTCTCTCGCCCCTCTCCCCCCCGTCGGCCCTCGCCCCCCGTCGCTGTCGCCCTGGGCTGGCGGGTGGCGGGTGTCGCCCTGCATATCGCTCGCAATCGGCAAACACCACTCACTCCGCCTCAGGCTTCCGTGCCCCGAGGGCACCCGACCAGCATTTTCGAACCAACGCCCGGCAGCGCCGCGAGGGCCACCCCATGAGACCACCCAACATGAACGCAGGCACGACTCACAAGATAGGTCGGGATGGGAACGGGCAGAGCGCGGATCGGATGGGATCGACAAGAATTGCAACTTGCGATGTGCTTCTCTCTCTCCCTCTCTCTCTCTCTTTCTCTCTCCCTCTCCCTCTCTCTCCCTCTCTCTCTATGTCTTTATGTTGTTGTATCTCTCTCTCTCTCTCTCTTTCTCTTTCTCTCTCCTTCTCCCTCTCTCTCTCTCTCTGTCTTTTTGTTTTCTCTCTCTCTCTCTCTTTCTCTCTCTCTCTCTCTCTCTTTCTCTCTGTCTGCTGGCCATCGCACGCGCAACCCCGCGCTGCGTCTCTGTCAAGTCTCGCCTCGAGCGGGCGACCCCTGCCGCGTCTGTGAGACGCGACTCGCCCGCGCCGAGATCCCTGCTCAGAGGAGCCCGAGATCCCGCCGCCCCTCGAGGGAGCCCCCAGCGACGCCTACGCCGCCGAGGTCTCGAGCCGGGCGCACTCCTCGAGGATGGACTCGCTCATCTTGACGCCCTTGGCCAAGATGTCCGCCTTCAGGGCATCCACCGCGTCCTTGCGCTTCTTCTGGCCCTTGATCTTCGGGATCACCGCAGTGACTTGGAAGACGGCGTAGGTGAGGGACACGACCTCGATCCCATTGTCGAACACCTGCTTGGACTTGCTGACGACATCTGCCGCTAAGAAGGGGCCGAACGCGTCCTTGGCCACGGAGCGCGCGACGCGGCGAGCCTCCTTCAGGGCGTTCACGCTCTCGGAGAGGACCTTGTAGTTCTTGTTGCCGACCAGCGCAGCATGCTTCTCCGAGTGCTCAGGCTTCAAGATGCTATCCTTGAGCGCCAGGATGCCCGGCGGCTCAATGGACGACTCGATGGAATTGCAGATTTGGTGCACGCATGCCGTCCACGCGTTCCGCCAGATGTCGAGCTCCCTCATGGCCGACCCGACCACGAACTCCTTGAACGACATGGGGTCGCCGAGGAACTGGTCGAACGCGTCGAGGTGATTGTCCTCGTCCTCCCTCTTCTCGAAGAGGTCGGGCTCGACGACGGTCGCCACCAACGTCTGCAGGCGCGCGCGCACCGAGGTGATGAGCTTGGCGGTGTCGTCGCACACCGGGGCCGAGCCGCTGAGCTCGGCGATCTGCAAGCCTTCGCCGCGAGCCTGCGCCACGGCGTGCAATGCCATCCCAGTCGCATGCGCCGCCTTCATCAGGGACAGCTGCTTCACCAGACGGCGGTCGCCAACGCCCGCGGCGAGGCTGGTCAAGTCCCCCAGCTGCAGCTCCTTGAACTCCCTGGGAAACGCATTCGTCTTGTACTCCTCAGGCACTTGGTCGACGAAAGCCTTGACGGAGTCGGCGAGCTTCTTCTCGGCGACAACGGACATGAAGATGGATTTCCGAAGCCTCAGATCGAACAACCTGCCGAGGCGCAGGTGGGCGACCCCCCCCGGCCGAGCCCCGGCGAGCGCCGGCGCCCCGCGCCTCGGCCCCCGAGGGCCCGACGAAAGCCCCTTGGGCCCTCCCAGGACATTCAGGGGGGGCCCGAAAGTACCCCGATGGGCGCCTCAAGAAGGCCCCAGGACGGCTCCAGGAGGGCCCAAACAGCAGTCAAACATCGGTGACGCGAGCGCCCTCTCGCGAGACGTGACATGTGACATGTCACGTCACGCCTGACATGTCACATGTCACGTCAGACATGTCACATGTCACGTCAGCGGGCAGTCAGACATGTCACATGTCCCATGTCTGACTGCCCTCGAGGCCCTCTTGGACCCCCCCTGGGGCCCTCGATCGTGGTGGGGGGGGGGGCGCCCTAGCGCCTCTCCTTGACGGCAGTGCCGAAGGCCGCCGCAATCTCCTTGGCCGTGTTGGAGCTGGGCTCCGACTGCGAGCCATCGCTCTCCAGGGTCGCCGTGGCGATGGCAGCTTCGTCCGCCCAGGCCGCGTCCATCGAGAAGTCACAGAGAGCTGCTTGGAGCTTGATCGCCTCCCCAGTGTTCAGCGTCTCAGCCTGCTTGAGGGCCACCACCTTGGCTACGCATGGCAGGAGGGAGATGATCTGCTTGAGCGCCGGCTTGAGCGAGTCATGCTTGCTGTCGCACACAGCGCCACCGACATTGGTACAATGGGCCGCAATCGCAATGCCGACGATGCACTCCATCAGATCGCCGTCCATCTTGTCGTGATCGTCCGCGACCCTGAGGACGAAAGCGAAGGCCTGACCAAGGGCTACCCCGGACCAGTACCGCATGCTGCCCCAGAAAAATTTTTCCATGAAATCGCCCTTGATGTCCTTGTCGGCGCGGCCGTAGTCCACCGAGGTCAGCGCCTCGACCGCGCCGACGAGAGATTTCACCGCCGGCGCCACTCTCTCGAGATCCTCGGAGCGGGCCGTCCACCCCCGCTCACCCAGCTTGTCGAGCTCCCCCAGCTTGCCGCTCTCAACTTCGACGCGGGACAGCGCGAGGTCACTGGCCTTGGTGGCGTCCCTGGTCTTCAGCGCCTGCTGGTGGAGGAGCTTGCCAGGCGGGAAAAGCAACAAGCTGCTCGCGACCTCTGCGGACTTGTCGGCGACGAGCTCCACGGCCGCCCCGAGCTTGTCGAGCGGCACGGCGCCGATCGAAGAAGTCGACGACGCTTTGATCACGTTGCTGATGGACTCGACCTCCACGAGCGTATCAGCCGACAACTCGGCATTGCAGAAATAAGCCTCCTGGAAAATGCTCAAGAGGGATGCGCGGCAAGTCGTCGCGTTCTCCTGGGCCGACTCCACCTTGCTGCACAACAGCTCGCGCTGCAACTTGCGCGTCTCAGCGATGGTAACGGTGACTTCGGCCAAGTTGTCCACGGACAAGGACTGCCAGAAATCGGCGCCGGCGGCCCCCAGAACCGAGAAGCGCTTGGCCGCCAACTTGACGAAGCCCGGGAAAACACTCACCTCGATCTTCGGGTCCATGTCAACGAACGCCATCTGATTTTTTGCTTCAGCCAAGAACTCATCGGACTCCGCGCCGTGCTTCTTGGCGGTCTTGCACAGCGATGATATTACCTGCACGGTCTTCTTCATAATGACGATCTGGGCGCGAGTCTCGGCGTCCTGGGTCTCGCCCAAGCGCTCGTCGATGGCGACCTCGAGCCGAGAGATCCACTGCATCATGGTTTTGGACCCCGTGCCGAAGAAGCTCGGGCTGCTCTCTGAGCAACTGGTCCAATCCAACCTGAGCTTGTCGGTGTCTGCGGCAATGTCGCGCTTGTCTCTGCCGGGGCCTCTCTTCTCTCTCGAGCCGCCGCTTGCCGCGGCGCCATCCGAGCCCGCCTGCTTGCCCCGCTTGGCCGCCGACCGCTTCGGGATAGGAACGGCGGGCGCCTCGCCCTCGTCCTCCACCTTCACGCGGGCCCTCCCCTGCCCGCGCTCCACCTTCGCGCAGACCGCCCCTGGGGAAGGCGACGGCGTCGACGCCTGTCCTGGCTGCGCCTGGTTCTTAGGAGGCGTCGCCATCTGCACGTTGAAGAAACCCTGAGGGGGCTTGGCGGGCGTGGATGCCCCCGCGTCGACGCTCGCCGGCGACTGGATGACCGGCGCGCGCAGCAGGCCCAGGTGGGCGCCGACCGCGTTCTCGACCCTCGGGGGAGGAGCCCGCGGGGAAGGCTGGAGGAGGAGGAGGAGGAAGATGGAGGGGAATGAGAGGGAAGGCGCAGGAGCGAAAGGGCTGGCAAGTGCGGGGCGCGGAAGAGGTCGAGAGGAAAGAGATAGCGAAGAGGAGACGGAGGGGGAGCGGAGGAGGAGAGAGGGCGCGGAGAAAGAGGGAGGAGGTAAAGAGAGAAAAAGGGAATCGGAAGAGAGAGGAGGAACGGAGTTAAGCAGCGGGCGGAGGGAGGGACGAGGGAGATAAAAGGGGGGGCAAGAGGAGCGAGCAAGTCCTGAAACCAGCGAGCACCGTCTCCATGGTGTCGGTCAGCTGCGACTCGCTGAGGACCATGTTGCCGTCGTCGTGCACCCTCTCGCGCTCCGCGAAGCCGGCCTTCATCCTGCGGATCTTCTTGACCGGCGGTGGCGGCACGAAGACGCCGTAAACGCCTTCGAACCAGCCGACTCGATGCCCTTTTCCATTGCTGGCTGGGTCGCCCTGTCCGCCGCGGTACCCGGTCTTGTAGTACTCCAGCTCGACGTGCTCCTGAGGGGGCGGGCGGGGCAAACGCAACAGGACATGCGCGGGGAAGTGGTGGGGGGCGGGCAGGGGGGGCTGAGGGTTGAGAATCCAGGGCCGACTACAGAGGATCGGGGATCAACGATCGATCGGCGTCGTCGTCGTCGTCGTCGCCGTCATCGTCGCCGACGTCGTCAAGGATTCCAAGGGTGCCCTTGGAGAGCTACTCATCCTCCTCAGCCTGACAGCATCATGAGGAAGATGAGTAGCTCTCCAAGGGCGCCCATGGCATCCTCGGCGACGACGACGAGAACGAGGACGACGACGGCGGCAACGACGACGACGACGGCGGCGAAGACGGCGACGACGACGACGACGACGACGACGCCGATCGATCGTTGATCCTCGATCCTCTGTAGTCGGCCCTGCACTCTCAACCCTCCGCCCCCCCTGCCCGCCCTCCAGCTCTCCCCCACGCATCCTATGTAGTCGTCGTCGTCGTCGTCGCCGCCGCCGTCGTCGTCGTCGTCGTCGCCGCCGCGACGACGAATCTCCTCGTCGTCGAAGACCTGGATGCCCTCCTGCTCCCTGGACAGCACGCGGTCGGAAACGGCCGCACCCTCCCACTTGATCTTGATGTCGCGGGAGTTGGCGTCGACGCACTTCTGCGCCAGGAACTTCGCAAGGTCCTTGAAAGACTCCCAGAAGTCGATGTCCTCACCGCACTTATTGATGAGCAGCTTCATTGTGGGGAACTCTATTTTTTTGGCCGTCTGCCAGGTCCTGCCGCAGTACCAGCAGATGCATCCCTGACGAGATGCCGCCGCACGCACCACGCCGCCCTCCCACTCCACGCCCCCCCACTCCGCCATGGAATGGGGCAGCGAGGAGAGGGGGGCAGGAGGGGTGCGTGGGCGCTGCACCCCCACCTGAGTTTTGCCGTTCGCGTACGGCGGGTAGAACCATGCGAGATAGCCGCCGTCGACAGGGTCAACGCTGTTGGCCTTCAACAAGCACAGCTCGCACGCCCGGGCGTCGGGCGCATACTTGCTGGTGACTTCCACCCCCTTGCGCTTGGCGCCGCGCCTGGTGACCTGGACCTGCGCCCCAGCTTCATCTGAGCACCCAAACAAGCCCAGGCTCGGATGCTCTGATATGTCCACCGTCTCCGCAATGCTCATGGCCGGGGCTCAAACTGCGGCCCGAAATGCGACAAAAAGCTCGGCGGCGTCTCGAGTCAGAACGCCTTGGGATTCGCGGCGTCGCCCAGATCCGCCCTCGGCCCCCTCCAAGAGGGCCCCGAGGCGGCTCCAGGGGGGCCCCAATACCATATGGAAAAGTTCGTTTTGAAAGCCTTTCAACACCAGCCCTGGCGGGGCCCTCCCGGAGCCCCGTCGCGGCCGCTCGGGCCCGCCAGGGCCCTCTCGTGGCCCAAAGACGGCTCCGAGAGGACGTCCAGGGAGCCCGAAGATGGCCCTCAGACTATATTTAGATGTTCCATTTTTGGGCTAAGGTGGTCCGAGCGCCAGACTGCAAACGTAAATTCAAACTACACAAACAATTCAAACTGATTTCCGCCGTGAAATTCGAACTACACAAAAAATCAAACAGATATTCAAAATAAAAAAATCAAAATGAAATTCCAAACAAAACTTGAATGCCATGAAGAATTTCAATTGAAATTACAATAAATGTTACATGAAAAATATCACGAAATTCAAATCCTAACTGAGACCACGCGCGAAACCGCATGTCAACGTTAACGCCTGGGAAGAGAAGAGTGCGAACCACAAAGAATTAAAGCCAGCGGCGCAACGCCCCCACATTCTTTGACACGTATGAGATCGGCCGCGGCACATCCTGGAGAATACCGCTTCGAAGAACGGCCCCCTCATTGAACCCGTTTCCTATTACACGGCATCTCCGGGGGGAAGCGAAATATCACGATATCACGATATCACGATATCCGAAACAGGGGCGGGGCGTGGGGCGGAGGGCTGCGATATTTCTGCGTGCGCTGCTGATGTTGGGAGGGCCATGTCCGCCGGCCACCCGGAACATTCCCAACCAGGTATTCCAGGACGGCGCAAGATGGCCTCCAAGATGGCCACGTTGGCCCTATATGGCCTCCCAGAGGCCTCTTAGGCGGCCAAGGTTGCCTCCAAGACTGCTAAGATGGTTCCCAGATGCCTCCAACACGTCCCCAGAGGCCTCCAAGACGTTCTCCAGGAGAGCCCGGAGAGGGCGAAACCATTAGTTTTCCTTAGGTGTTGGAAGGTTGCTTTCGTGTTTTCTTCTTCTCTGCCTTCCGACGGCTCAGGAGGCCCCCAAGATCGCCCAAGAGGCCTGCGAAATGGAAATGGCCTTTTGACGGCTCGATTGCCCCCCTAGACTCTAGACGGCCCCCAGAGCGCCCCAAGACGGCCCAAGAGGCCTCCAAGGCGCCCACATGGCCCCAAGATGCCTGCAAGATGGCCCAAGAGGCCTCCAGGACGCAGACGCCCAAGATGGCCTCCAAGACGGCCCTGAGGCCTCGCCGACGCTGACATTGTCCGCCGTCCTCGCGGGCGCTGATCCCAGCGCTGTAGCTGATGACGTCGGGCTCCAGCTTCGCGTCCCACATCCCGCGCAGCAGCGCCAGAGCACGCTGCCACTGCCCGCCCATCTCGCAGGCGCCCGTCCCAGCGCTGTAGCTGATGACGTTCGGCTCCAGCTTCGCGTCCCACATCTCGCTGAGCAGCGCCAGAGCACGCTGCCACCGTCCGCCCTTCTCGCAGGCGCTGGTCCCAGCGCTGTAGCTGATGACGTCGGGCTCAAGCCTCGCGCCCCACATCCCTCTGAGCAGCAAGAGTGCTCGATGCCATTGGCCGCCTGCTCGACGCGCGCACGCAGTCGAGCAGGCGGCCAATGGCACCTTGAGCCTAGGTGGTGAGAGGATTCAGAGAGGCCCCCAAGACGGCTCCCGACGGCGTCGGACGGGCCAGGAGCGCCCGATGACGGCCAAAGATGCCCCCAAGAAGCTCCCCAAAGCCCCCAGCAGGCCCAAGGAGGCCCCCATGAGACCCCCAAAAAGCCTCCAGGAAACTCCGAGCAACCCCCAAGAGTGCTCCAAGAGGCTCCCACGAAGCTTCCTCCTTCTCCTACTACCATTCCTCGTCCTCTTCCTCTTCTGCACGTTGGGGCCCTTTGGGGGCCCTCTTGGGGCCCTCTTGGGCTCCCTTGCGGCTCTCTTGGGAGCCCTGGAGCGCCTCTTGGGGCCATCTTCGAGGCTATCGATCAAGGGAGGGAGGGTCCCGATCAGCGCCCCCCCCCTCGGGGGCCACGATCCTCGTGAGGGGTGACAAACATTGGCCCTCCCAGGGGGGGCGATCTCGGACGCTCCACCCGGTCGCGGCCCTTCCCGTCTTGGTCCAAGAGGAAAGGACGTCACCGTGTGACCATCTGTCGCCCAAAGGGCTGGTGGGATTACGCTGCGTCCGCGCTCCCAGGGCCACCTTCCCTTGCAAGTCTGGTTGCGTCCGCGCTCCCAGGGCCACGATCCATACAAACTTTCGCTGCGTCCGCGCTCCCAGGGCAACGATCCATCGTAAATTACGCATGCGCCCGCGCTCCCAAGGCCACGATCTACTGTAAATTACGCTGCGTCCGCGCTCCCAGGGCCACGTTCCCTTTTAAGTTTCGTTGCGCCCGCGCTCCCAAGGCCAGGATCCCTTGTAAATTATGCTGCGCCCGCGCGATCCATCGTAAATCAAATTGCGTCCGTTCCCTGGGCCACGATCCTTTGGAAACAACGTTGCGTCCGCTCTCCCTGGGCCCCGATCCCTTATGCATTACACTGCGTCCGCGCTCCCAGGGCCACGATGCATAGTAGATTACGCTGCGTCCGCGCTCCCAGGGCCACGATCCGTAATAGATTACGCTGCGTCCGCGCTCCCAGGGCCACGATCCCTTACAAATTACGCTGCGTCCGCGCTCCCAGGGCCACGTTCCCTTTTAAGTTTCGTTGCGTCCGCGCTCCCAAGGCCAGGATCCCTTGTAAATTATGCTGCGTCCGCGCGATCCATCGTAAATCAAATTGCGTCCGTTCCCTGGGCCACGATCCTTTGGAAACAACGCTGCGTCCGCTCTCCCTGGGCCCCGATCCCTAGTAGATTACGCTGCGTCCGCGCTCCCAAGGCCACGATCCATAATAGATTACGCTGCGTCCGCGCTCCCAGGGCCACGATCCCTTACGAATTACGCTGCGTCCGCCCCCCCAGGGCCAGGATCCCTCGTAAATGTCGCTGCGTCCGCGCTCCCAGGGCCACGATCTACTGTAAATTGCGTTGCGTCCGCGCTCCGAGGGCCACGACCCCTGGTACGCTGCGTCCGCGATCCCAGGGCCAGTATCCCTTGTAAATTACGTTGCGTTCGGGCTCCCAAAACAAGCGCTTCTCTCGAAACATCCTCGAATTGTTTCGCTCGAGACATCCTCACGACCTGGGCACGTGAAAATACGCATTTTCACCTGAGACGTTTGGTGAATTCTGGCCCCAAAGAAAGGAAATATCTATAGCACAAGACAAACGTTTTGCTCGAGACACCCTCAACGCATCATGCAAACCAAGCGTTTCGTTCGAGACATCCGCAACAGACGAAACTGCATACTTCATCATGTGTTATATCGATCGGAAGTTCAGAATGAGCGTTTCGCTCGGGACATCCTCAACATTTAATTCGCCGGCCCGTCTCGACCTCTTTATTCAACTGAAAAAAGAACAGAAACTAATTTTGCCGGCACGTCTCAAGTCGATTCCGGGGCTCAACTTACTAGAATATAATTTTGGGCCACAGCCTTCCACGAAAAAACATGCAACACCCCTACGCACTCAGCACTGGCACGCCAGGAGGAGGAGGAGGAGGAGGAGGAGGAGGAGGAAGAGGAGGAGGAGGAGGAGGAAAGGGGGAGGGGAATGAGGAGCAGAAGGAAGGGGATGGGGAGGAGGGGGGCGCGGAGGAGGGGGAGGGGGAGGGGGAGGGGGAGAAGGAGGAGGAGGTAGGTAGGTAAGACGCAGGCTGGGACGCTGGGTCGTGCTCTGTGTGTCTCAACGCGTGTGGCGTGTTATGACTTTGCATAGGAGGCCAAGACAGCCCGCTGCACTTAAGGGGCCCTTAAGTGCAGCGGGTCTGCTCCTCCGTCGGGGGGGCTCCCGGAGGCCAAGACAGCCCGCTGCACTTAAGGGGCCCTTAAGTGCAGCGGATCTGCTCCTCCTTCGGGGGGGGCTCCCGGAGGCCAAGACAGCCCGCTGTACTTCAGGGGCCCTTAAGTTCAGCGGATCTGCTCCTCCTTCGGGGGGGCTCCCGGAGGCCAAGACAGCCCGCTGCACTTAAGGGGCCCTTAAGTGCAGCGGATCTGCTCCTCCTTCGGGGGGGCTCCCGGAGGCCAAGACAGCCCGCTGCACTTAAGGGGCACCCAGAGTGGGAATGAAGAGGGAAACTGAAAGCGCAGACTCCGTGACAGCCAGAAGGCTACTCTGGCCACAAGATGGCAGAGAAGGGGAGGAGGAGGAGGAGGAGGAGGAGGAGGAGGAGGAGGAGGAGGAGGAGGAGGAGGAGGAAAGGGGGAGGAGGAGGAGGAGGAGGAGGAGGAGGAGGAGGAGGAGGAGGAGGAGGAGGAGTTGGGGCCCGCATGCCTCCCCACCACGCATTTCGGCATTTCCCTCGCACATTCTGTGGCCTCATTGGGAGCTCTACCGAAGATGATATTCACAACCGCGGTGCTGACACCTGCATATGGTTGGGCCCCTCGCCAATATAATTATGAGAGGGCCCCCCAATAACTTATAACACTCCCCGCGGTTGCCCAAGAGATGCCCCGAGAGGCCCGGCGAAAACATGGGAACTCCGTGGTTCCCGCCTTTTTCTTGGTTTGGGCAAAAACAAACGCCAGGGAATGTTGTCGGTGTTCGTTTGTGTTATTTGTTGTGGGATCTCTTGGGGGTCATTGGGGTCTGTGGTTCTTCTCCACGAGTCTGGAATCGTCGCAAACCAACAACAGGCGGGAACCACGGAGTTCCCAAGTTTCTGCCTTGGCTATTTCTGGGGGGCGTCACGGCGAAAACTTGGGAGCTCCGTGGTTCCCGCCTTTTTCTCCGAAGATGCTGCAAGACTGGCCCAAGGGGCTCCGGGAGGGCGCCACGAGGGCCCCGAGAGGGCCCAAGACATTTTTCCAGCAAGTGCATTGAGGGGGGGGGCCCTCCCACGGTTGCCCAACGACGACAACAACAACAACAACAACAGCAACAGCATCAACAACCACAACAACAGCAACAACAACAACAACAAAACCAACACAAACAACACCAACACCACCACCACCACCAACAACAACAATAACAACAACAACAACACCAACAACAACAACAACAACAGCAACAACAACAACAACAACAACAAACAACAACAACACCAACCAACAACAACAACAACAACAACAACAAACAAACAAACAAACAAACAAACACACAAACAAACAAACAAACAAACAAACAAACAAACAAACAAACAAACAAACAAACAAACAAACAACAACAACACCAACACCAACAACAACACCAACAACAACAACAACAAACAACAACACCAACACCACCACCAACAACAACACCAACACCACCACCACCAACAACAACAACAACACAGCAACAACAATAACAACAACAACGACAACAATAACAACAACATGTTCACCGCGGGCCCCCGCTGCAGCCCCGCATCCAGGGGCGCTGTCAACTGATCGCCGCGAGCAAGCCTACCTGCCTTCAAGGCAGCTCGCGGCGCGCGCGCCCCTGGGGGCACTCGGAGCACGGCGGCTCGCAGACGCGCCCGCTGCATCACCACGAATCGCCATCCGAATCCTCGATGATCTCCGGCGCGGCGACGCTGCCCACCAGGTCGACCTCGTGGACGCTGCCCCTCGGGGAGTCGTCCAGCGCGTCGTCGATGCTGCTCTTGACGTCGTCGATGTTGCCCTTGACTGCGAACCCGAGCATCATCGAGGGCCCCAGCGCGAAGGCGCTGAAGGCGTTGCCGGCCAGATCTCCCAGGAGAGCATGGCCCATGTTCTGCGTGGCCTTCGCGAAGAAGGCGACGTCCCACCCGACGATCTGGAACTTCTCCACCCCGGTCGCGACCCTCGCGGTCACGCAGCCCGTGTCCTTGTCGACGTACCGCACTGCCAGGACAGTCGACCCCGCGATGCAGGGCGCTGAGGTGGTCCAGGGGCCATGGGAACTCGTAGTCCTCAAGAGCCTCGGCAGCGAGATGTTGATGTCGCAGAACTGCGCCTCGTCCCCAACCATGGGAAAGTTGACGTGCAAGTAGAACAGCGCCTCTGCGGGGCGAAGACCAAGCCCCGCGGTGAGGAGCCGCGACTTGTGAGTCCCCCCTCTGTGCTGGATATCCACGTGCATCTCGGCGCTGAGGGTCGGCGGCCACTCTAGAGGTGGTTTCGCCCCACGAAAAATATCAATGTGGTCGTCGTGCCAGTCTGGGTCCTTCTTGGCGGACTTTGCAGGGGGAGGGCCATCGGCCAGGCGGACAGGGCTGCTGTGGGCCCCGTCGCAGAGGCGGTTCAACTCGGCGTCCGTCATGGCGATGGCAGTGTCGGAGGGCAAAGCGCCCATGGCGAGGTACTCCAGGAAGTTCTGCCACTGAGACGTGATGGCCTCGTTCCGAACCTCGGAAACGGGGGCCTCCTGAACCTTCCACGCCAAGAAGTAGAGCCGGGTGCGGGTCGCGACCGACCCAAAGTCGGCGGCGTTGAACTTGCGCATCACGGCCGCGTACCCGAAACCGCGGAGGCGCCCCAAGATGCAATCGGCGTCCGACTGCTCCGACCCGCCCTTCTCCGCGAGCTCCTCGGGGCGAGGGCAGGGAGGGGGGCGACGGGGTCGAATCGCGATCCTCGATCCGTGACCCGCGAACTTCGGCCCTCGGTCCTTGAACCTGGACACCCGAACCTCGACCCTAAATCTTCATCGGGTCGAGGCGCAACGTTCGCGGATCGGGGATCGATGGCCCAAGTTCGAGGATCGAGGGTCGCGGGTCGAAGACTGAGGATCGCGAGTCGAGGATCGAGGCATCGAGGTCGGAGGATCGAGGAGCGATCGTCGATGATCGCGGTCCTTGACGTTCTCGAGGATAACCATCTCTGGGGACTGCTTGATTATGTAGGCCTCGATGTTGACATATGTGTAGGCTGTTTCAGTACTGGTGTCGCTGCTCTGCACGCAATGAATGTTGCCGCTCGAGCGGGAATTCAAGGCACTCCTGGACTTGCAAACGAATCCCGCCAAGAACAACTTGACGCGGGGGATGAGGACGGGGACCTTGGATATGAGATCGTCCGACTTCTTCAACCCCAACTCACAGACGTCACGGAATAAATGCTCGAGACCGCCGCCCTCCCAGACGTGCTGCTGGAGGATGAACGCCTGCTTCTTGTCATCATTCTCGCACGCGAAGACGTGGCGGAAATTGGCGTCGCGGCCCAAAGTGTTGGAGTAGAAGCGCATCAGCGACTCGAAGACCACCGCGCAAATATCAGAGCCACTGCACGCCGTCCCGATCGTGAACGGCTCGGCCATCATGGCATCAAAGATACTGTGGACCGATTGCAAGTACTTGCGCCTGAGGGCCGCCGGCATGCGCGAGTGGTAACCTGCAATGCACTTCTCGAGGGGTGTCTCAGGCGCGCCTGCTGCTAATCCACGAAGTCGGTGACTGGGCGGGGAGTACGGTGCGTCGGCGTCGTCGGGCACCGCCCCCTGGGTCTCCGGGGGCGCCACCTCCTGGGTCTCAGGGCTCGCCGCCTCCAAGGTCTCCAGCGGCGCCGCCTCCTGGGTCTCCGAGGTCTCCGGCGGCGCCGCCTCCTGGGTCTCCGCGACGCGCGGGTCCTCCACGGCGCCAGCGAGCTCGCCGCACATGCCCTCCGACTCGGGCCCCTTCGACTGCTCGCCCGCGCCCTCGAGGACGTCGTCCTCAGGGCGGGGGCCAAAAAAATGAAGGCCGCGCTTTCCCAGCGCCGCCCTCGACGTCGGAGTCTCTGGAGCCCTACCCGCCCTCTAGGGCGCGAGGCCCTGCAATGCCCTGCAAAGCCCTCCTGCAAATACCCTGCGAAGGCCCCTGCAATACCTTGCAAAGACCGCGGGGCCCTCTCCAGGCCCCCTGGGGGCCCTCTGGGGGCACTGAGAGGAGCCCAAGAGGGCCCCAAAGCAAGAGGGCCCCCAAGCAACAGAGGACCCCAAGAGGGCCCCAAAGCAACAGGATCTCTGCTGGGGATAGCAAACATAAAATGATTTTCAGGGTCTTGCAAGATTGCAGGTCATATTGCAGGGCCTCGCAAGGTCTTTGCATGATCTCACAAAAAGTGACATTTCTGAATTCCGAAGCTGCATTTCTGAATATCTGAATTTCTGAAGCTGCATTTCTGAATCGGTGAATCTGCATTTCTGAATTTCTGATTTTTTTTCCGGGAGATTCCGGGCCTCACTAACTGATACGCCGAAAACGCTGATACATCCTCAAAAACGGACATCCCGGGGATTTCCGGGAAATTCCGGGAGATCCCGGGCCTCAGAAATTCAGAAATGCAAGCTTCAGAAATTCAGAAATTCAGAAATTCAGACAATCATGTATTTCATCAATCCCACGAGACCTCCAGGGCGCGCGGGGTGGTGAGTAACGTTCTCTCTTGTTTCTCAGGGGAAGAGGGGGGGGGGCATCCTGGAGGGCCCCCAGCGGGCTCGGGGGGGGCCGAGAGGGCCCCGACAGAACCGCGAGGCCTGGTCAGGCCATTGGGGGCGCCAAACCTCCCTGGTTCCCCCCTCGACCCCTCTCAGAGCCCATCAAGGCCCCGAGGAAGCCGCAAGAAAGCACCGCAAACGCAAACACACACACACACACACACACACACACGCACACATACACACTCACTCACTCACTCACTCACTCACTCACTCACTCACTCACTCACTCACTCACTCAGTCACTCTCTCTCACACACACACACGCACACACACACACACACACGCACACACACGCGCACACACACACGCACACACACACACACACACGCACGCACAAACGAATGGGCTCAAGAATAAGACCCCGTTTGTGCCATTGCTCGTGTTTTCGGGGTGGCCATCTTGGGCCCTCTTGGAGCCCTCCCAGGGCCTCTGTCGGAGTCACCATGGGGCTGTATTGTATTGGGCCCCTCTTGGGGCCCTCTTTTTTGCGCTGCATACTGCTAGACTGCACGCTGCCACGCGTCCCCGATCAGG